AATGCTGTTCTTCCCGGTAGCACAGTGATGCTGACCTCTTCTGTTTCGTGCAGCACATCTGGAACTGTGCTAAAATATTTCCCTTCTTTTTCTCTTTGCAGTACTTGATTAAATTTTATTGAGTAGATGTGGAAATCCTTCTCTGCTTTATGTTATTGCTATAAATATTTCTTGTTAACTGCAAAATAAATGCACTTTGGCAGCAGGGAAGAAGGAATTCTCTTACTGCACCTCGTTACTGCATTGAGTATAAAATAGTGTTCTATTACAGTTACAGGGTTTCTTTGAATGCAGAGTAGAGACAGCAGAGGCTGTACACTATGCCACTGAAACGGAGATGGTTTATTTATGCTGCTGGAAAGGGAGCTTACAACCTAGAGTTGTGATTATTTGGACTGGAAGAGGACAGGGAAGCAAGGTCAAGGTCAGCTTGGATCAAGTTTACAGCCCCAGAAGTGCCTGATCTTGGCTGCTCTGAGCCTGGTCTGGTTTTGAAAGACTTCATAGAATATAGCTTTTATCGCATTTACTTAAAAGAACATGAAAAGGGGCTGCCAGCAAGGCTCATGCAGCAGTGAACAGCAGTGACACAAGGTGTTCTTTCACAGGATGCAAAGTCAAGCACCATAGAGCGAATGGGCTTTAACAGGCATGGACCAGGATTATGGATAGCAGCTCTGATAAAAATCTCTGAAAAGGAACAGAAGGAAACACTAGGTGAACTTGAGTTATAAATTAAAGGGAAAGTAATAAGTTCATTCAAAAGCCAGCACCCACCCCACTCCCATCCCCAGACCTCTGAAGCCATCCAAACCCTCTCTTGACCAAGTTAAAAATAGCTGCCATGATTTTAGCTACAGGCTGGTTGGTTTCTTACATTTAGCAAATAACATCCACTTGAGCATGTTATTCTGGCTCCTTTATGTACCCATCATGGTTCATAAACATGGAGCAGAATTGGGCTAAGTGTGGCAGCTGATTTACCCGAATGGTTGTGTTAAAAGGCATTTCTAGCTAACAACATTATGGAAGAACTAAATGTGACAATCCTTAAAATTTTAGCTTAACAAATATTACTGCTAAAAAGTAAGTGGTTGGGGCCAAATATGACAAATATTTGTAACTTCAGTCTTTGCATTCATGTAGTTGAGATAGTGGAGCTCAAGCGTTTCTCAGAGAATGGAAGAGAACAGTAGTGTGTTTATTTTGCAGTAGTGCAACATGTTCGTCTCACCATACATGATTGCCTCATGTTCTTTTGGTCAAAGGACTTGTCAATATTTCTTTTCTTTTCTTTCAAACTTGGGCCATCAGAACAGTATGTTTTAAAATGGGGCTAAGATGGGTAATTCTGTCTATGTCAGAGATGAGGGCCTTGCCTTTGAGCTCTGCTTCTGATATATTTTCCAGTGAAGAAACCAAGAATAAAAGTACACTGACAAAGTGTCCTTATTGGGAACCCTGTAGTCTTTGACTTGTAGTAATTTCCTAAAGCCTGTATGATTGTATACTTTATACCACATTTGAAGTTAAGTTGCGAGGAAGTGCAGTGTATTAATTGGAGACAGGGACTGTGGGTATTCCAAGTTTTAGATGAGCTCTTATAGATAACAGGAAATATGAATACCCTTCTCCAGTTGTTTCATGTTTACTCTTTATAAGAAAGGTCCAGATTCTCGTCACATTCCTAAAGTAGCTTTTAATATAAACATTGCATTTCATGATAACATTAACAAACAAACAACCATAAAAAGGCAAATAAAATCAGTCTTGGTAATAGAGTTTCATGTGTCACTTCACTTGTGCTCATTAAAAATGGGTCACTGAGTACATGGATTCACTGATAAGGATGCTGATAGTGTGATGCAAAGCCTGCTAGGTTCACAAGGATTCTTTCCACTAATTTCAGTGGACTGACATTGATCTGGAGTCCCTAACAAAAGTGTTGGAGTGAGTCCACAGAAGGGCCACAAAGATGATCAGATGGCTGGAGCACCTCTTCTTTGAAGACAGGCTGAAAGAGTAGGGATTGTTCAGCCTGGAGAAGAAGCAGCTTCAGGGAGACCTTATAGCATCTTCCAGTACCTAAAAGGGCCTACAAGAGAGGTGGAGAGGGACTTTTCCCAATGGCATGTAGTGATAGGACACTTAAGCTGAAGGCTAGGTTTAGGTTAGATATTAGGAAGACATTCCTTACCATAAGGGTGGTGAGGCACAGGCACAAGTTGCCCAAAAAAGCTTTGGACGCCCATCCATAGGGCCAGGTTGGATGGGGCTCTGAGTAACCCTGTCTAGAGGAAGATTTGCCCATGGCAGTGGAGGTGAAACTAGGTGATCTTTAAGGTCCCTTCCAACCCAAATCATTGTATGATTCTATGAACGCAGCTTGATCAGTCAATGGTTTTGGATCAGGCCCAGCATTGGCACTACCCTGCTCCATGCGGGAAAGCATTAGGAGGAGGCAACCAGGATGAGGTCATGTGTGTACACAGTCCAGGGAGCAGTGCTGTGGGTACCAGGAACTGTGCATCCAACTAGGTTCTGTGTTCCACCTAAACTGACCAGGTGTTTTATCTGCATCCATGTTCTTTCAATGATCAAGGATCTTTGCTACTGCTCTCAATTCTGTAGCCCAGATACAGCCTGACCTTTGGATATGTTTTTCATCTACATCCATGTATTTGAATTCAGGTCCATTTCCTGTAAGGGTAGGAGTCAAATCTGTGTGTATAGACTGTGAGAGAGCGGCATGCCCCCAGAAGCTCTTGGGTTGGAGTAAGTTGCCTTTTTGGTGCCACTGGTTACACTCTGCACTTTTTCTGTAAAGACTATTAACACGTCTGAAGGAAGGCTCCTAAACAAAAAGTCACAGAAGGGTGTAATACATTAGATGAATCTGGACCTTCCTCTGCCTCCTTTCCCATTTATAAGATATAAATACTGTGTTTGTTCTTTAACATTTAAAGCAAATATATCTCCAAGCAGGTAGTATTTTTTCTTTCCTCTGTACTTCATCCCTTGTGAGCAGTGGAAAAGTATTTTGGATCCCACAGATTTGCAAGTCTACCCTGCCTAGGTAATTACATCCAAAAAATGCAATAAAAGAAAAGCAAAACCCAAACCAACCTCTAATATTATCATCTGCGTATTGAAACACTCCATATACTGATTTAGAGGATGATTTTTACCACACACTGATGCTTCTCAAATGGTCCCTGAAGCTACTCAGTGGGAATTGCCAACTATTTGCAAATTCCATAACAGTTCCAACCATAACATATAGTAACAAAAAATACCATCCCAATTTATGGGATTATACTTTTTGAGAAAAAATATAGCTCATATTAAAGCTGCTTCTGTACTATACCTTCCAGTGCCTCAGGTCTAGGAAACATGAACATAAATGGGATGAATTCTGGATGCTCCCCAATATGCAGTGCTTTCGTAGTAACATGTTTGAAACAAAATTATTCTGCTGGCTTAAAGGTAATTAACATAGCATTTAGCTATTCATGTAAGGGAATAAGAGAGTATTTTTATTCTAACATAATTAAATCAGGAAGACATTAATTTTATCATAGATAATTGAAAACCTGTGGCTATAAATCTATATTCTGCTATAAGTCTATATTCTGTAGGCCCTCATAAATCCATTAATAGCTGGGGATGAGCTGTAAGCTGGAACCTTCTTGTTTTGCTTTTCTGTAGTAGATAGGTGAAAACTTCAACTCCAGCCTCACTGAAGTTCAAACGTTTGCTAAGCCTTCTGACTTATGTTACTCAAATGAAAAACCTGATTCTTTACTGTCTTTTGCTGTCACCTTTTGCAAATAAGTTTCATTTGTCTCAGAGACAATGCTAAAAAAGCAAGCGTTTGGGGCTGTGTGTGTTAGTTTTCAGACCAAAGAGTGAGATTCTTTTATTTTGCCTGATTTTAATCAGGTATTTCATGTAAAGTTTTTCAGTTCATTTTGTTTGCAATATTCAGATGGATTGTCATACCTTTTCCATTACTATTCCATTTGGATTTATTCAGCCTATATAACCATTACAGTTACAGGTAACTGAGTAAATTTAAAAACTGGAAGCGGAGCTCTGTATAGATTCAGACTATATTATTATGATTAAAAAGGTTTGTTTTTTTTTTTTTTTTGCTTACTTTTACTTCTTAGAAGAAGAAAATTAGTAGAAGTTTTATTTCTGGTATGCTGCTAGAGTCTGCCTTCCCAAATTTCTAGTTAAAATTGGGTGCAGATATTTAGCTGTTGTCATTGCTCCTTCGTTGCAAGGCAGGAGTTGTCTCTCTCAGCATGTTTGACAGACATACATAATTCTGTGTGTTTGCCAAAGCATAAATACTCTGATTTCAAAACATAACAAATACTATTCAGAAATTCAAAAATGAATTTTGATTGCTGAATAGAATTTTTTATGTGCGTAGTGCAACTAAGGAGATAAATATGAGAATAGGGCATAAATAAAATCTAACATCTGTTGTAGAAGCAAGGGCTAAAGCAAATCCACAGTAAATTTTATCCTGTTATGTGAAACTCTATCATGCTGTTTGTAGAGAACTATTACTGTCTTAGTTTGTGAGGATAAAGGATCTCAGTTTATTAAAAAACAAAAGATTGTTCAATTTCCACTGAATACACTTTGCAAGCACATTTAGCATTTTCTGCAGTTTATGGACATTTGAAGTAAATATATCTTTTAAGAAATACTTGTTGCCATTCAATTTCACCAAATGTTTACCTGTGCTTTTCTTTAGCACACGAGTAACCTCAGTTAGTCAAGGGACAAGTTAGACAAGAATGACTTGTCTACACAGCTAAATATGTTTAAGCACTACCTGAACTGTGACCTGAAGTATTAGGAGTATGTTCCTGGTATTATGACACTGCATTTCAGTTTTTCAAGCCTTTTCTAAATGGTTTAAATTAGGTTGGGCTGTGCATCTAAAGAGTAAATGACATGGTTTTTTCTTATGCACTTTGTAGAACGAGGCTCAAAAGGACACCTTGACCTCACAGAGTTAATAGGAGTTCCTCTTCCTCCTTCTGTCTACTTTGTCACCGGCTATGGAGGGTTCCCAGCTTACAGCTTTGGACCGGATTCCAACATCGGTAGATTGACAAGTGCTATAATACCATCGCCTTTCTACAGAGATTTCGCTATTATAGTTACAGTGAAACCAAACAGTGATCGTGGAGGAGTGCTGTTTGCAATAACAGATGCCTTCCAGAAAACAATTTACCTGGGACTGAGAATTTCACCAGTGGATGACAGCACCCAGAGAATAATTATGTACTACACAGAGCCTGGATCCCATATCTCCAGAGAGGCTGCTTCCTTTAAAGTGCCAGTGATGACTAACAGGTGGAATAGGTTTACAGTGACTGTTCAGGAAAATGATGTTGCTTTGTTCATGGACTGTGAAGAATATCAGAGGCTTCAGTTTCAAAGGTCAGCTCGAACCTTGGTATTTGAATCTGGCTCTGGGATATTTGTTGGTAATGCAGGAGCCACAGGATTGGAAAAGTTCACAGTAAGTGCTGTCTGATAAATTCACATGTATCAGTGTTTAATGCATGTACTCTCTACCCAAGAAAGTCTGCTTACAATGGTTATATCCCAAATGAGGTTACAAATCGTATAGTTTGTATTTTCCATACCTGGCTAGACTTTGGGCAGTGCAGATATATAAACTCTGGTTTAAAATGCAAATGTTCTGAGAACCTCAGAAATTTATTAGTAGTCCAGGTATAAAGCTCCACGTTCAGTTTAAATATTAGAAACTCCAGAGTAAATATGTCACATAAATTTTTATGGCCTTTCTACAAAGGGCAGATTTCAGAGTATCCATGTTTTTAATTTCTGAGAATAATACCTTACTATAAAGTCAATATTTTAAACTCTTATAAGTTAGGTACTCATATTCAACATCAGAAATAGAATGATGTCATCAAAGATAAAGATATTTGGAAGATAAAACTGTATTTCTACAGTTTATGTATTATTTGAAGCTTATCAGGTGCTTCAGAAAAATAGAATGGACCAAAATCACTACTACAAACCTCTCAAGCCTTCTTAGCTTGAGTGCAAGCATCCTTTCTGCTACATCCTGACTGGGATTCTCAGCCACTGAGCTTGCAAATGGAAGTGTGAAAGCAGTCATTATGCGTGAGATTGACTCATTGTAAAATGGAAAGGGAAATGTCACAGTTTTTCCATCTGGTTTTTGTACTTCCCTTGTACTTCAAAACTTGCAGAGTGTTTTGTAAGATTAATGTCTTTTCCCCTAAATTAGTAAAGCAGCAGTGCAAAACTGAGTGGATCCTTTTCTTTAGAGAGTAGAGATGTTCTTACCAGAGTTCAGGGGTACTGACAGGTTGTGAGCTCAATCTGGTAAGCAGCGAGGATAATGTACTTTTATCATTTATCTGACTAGTCTAAACACCTAGAATTACAGGATTATATTGATTAGCAGCAAATAAGTGGTGGAAAGTGAAATGTATGAAGATTGCCTGCTGGTGCTACCTTTCTTAGACAGACAGGATGACTGGAGTATTGTGGATGCCTGATTAGTAAGTAGGATTGAGAATCATTCAGGAAAATGAGACTGCTCTGGTACCCCACCTGGAAAACACATGATGATCAGTTGCTGAGATTATCACCAATAAATCTGTAAATATGGTGGATTACACCATGATGCATTTCCACAAAAATGGGTTGTTCTGTATGTTATATTGAGTACATAAATTTCAGCCAATATTCTGATTGTTTCATTACTACTAATTGTGACCTGTAGTCTAGGTCCTATGCCTTTATTTCTTCATCATATTGCTTCATCATACCCAATTGCTTTTGGGTAGAAAAACTAAATGGCTGATCCCTCCTCAAACTCTGTTTGTATGCCAAGAACTGTTTACATCAATTGCCCAAAACAGAAACAAATCACAGCAGATTGTGCAAATGAATAGATATCAGTTGCTGTTTGCTCTGACTAATGGGAATTCATGTGTCTCAGACTCTGGTTGTCAGACACAAAAGGAACGTAATTATTGTCAGATTTATTGAAACCAAAGGAAAATCTAGCCCTGATGCTTGTAAAGAAAAGTAGAACACAGACAACAACCAAATATAACTGAATCAGTAATGATGCCAGATGCTGCAAACCAGCTTTAACAGGGAAGGCAGCAGCAGGCACAAGACCCAGAGAGGGAATACAATATCTCGTATCTATCATCCCTACCATGGTAGACTGAACCATAACTTTCCTAGTTAGAGTAATTGGCTAGCAGCAACACTTGGGAAACATTAGAGCTCCCCATTCTGCTTCCTGAACCATACAGGGCCACAGATTAGAGCAAGAGGAAAAAAATATGTTTTCAAAATGTGATTCACCTGTACTGTGAAAAAAAGCATCACTGCTTAAGTGTCTGGTTGTGCCTTCTTTCATGTATCATTTTTCAGTGAACTATTAGTCAGTCTGACACTGTTAAATATCTGAGTTGTCCATTAAGTTTTGAGAGAAATAGGATGGTTGAGACTACTGAGCTGTTGCCTCAGAATGCCCAGCAAACTCAAGATACACCAACTACATGAGTTTCATGGTCTTTAAAGGTACAGAAATTAGAGGATTGTCAAAGATAGAATCACAGACTTTATTCCTTTCTAAAATATCCTAGGTCATGTGTGTTAGGCAAGATAGTTCTTGATTTGAATATCCGTCTTTCTGCCCTATGTGTGCAACATGTCTAACTGTGAGATCCCAGAATAGGGAAATGTCCCTCTGTAGTGGTTTGAACCAGGTTTTTCCCCCTGAAGCTAAGAAAGTGGTAACCCCCAGGGGGTGGTGACACTGGAGATTTGAACCAATCTGCACTCCTGCGAAAAATAAACATACCACAAACAAATGGAAGAGAAGGTTAGTTGTAGTTTGGTTGAAGAAGTGGTAGCCATGTTCTGAGGCCACGAGGAGCAGAGGGCAGAAGACCCTGGGGGTCTTTGGCCGCCCAACCCCCAGCGGGGGGCTGTGGAGATCTGGAACAGCATAAAGCTGCGCTAGGTGCCTGCAGGTGAGAGCTAAGAAAGTTTTCTCCACTGTGAGTGAGCAGAGATAGAGCAGCGGCAGACGCAGCGTCCAGAGGCTGTGGCTAAGAGCCAGGACAGATAAGAACTGAACCAAACAGCAAACAGCTTGCAGTAAGAGGGAGAACTCCTGGAAGGAAAGCCGAGAAAAAAGAGCTAGCAGCAGCCAAAAGAGAGAACTGAGTTCTACAGAGTTTTTGGGGTAAGAACTGAACCAGACCCCCCAAAACTCCTTTGAGACCTCTGAGAAAGGAGGGAGATGAGTCTTGGACATGCAGAACTAGAGAGAGAGGAGCTGAGAAGCTCAAAAGCGTCCTGAAGCTGGACCGGGACGGAAAAGGAATGTGGGGGGATTGACCTTGGCCCCCCCTCGCTGCTGCTGACAAGCCAGGCAGCCTGAGACGGAGCACAGGAGCTCTGGTAGAACTCTTGAGGCAAAGGCTTTCAATTGAATGCTGCCCAAGATGTTCTGACTGAGGGGTGAACCCCTGAGGAAGGGACTTTCACGAAGATGCCCCTGCATTTCATGATATGCCTGTGGTGAAGCGAGTTTTGTCCCTGCTGGCAGTCCACAGGCGAAGGGGCTTGGAGACCCCCTTGTGTGTATTGAAGACCCTCGCTTGGAGACGACGGGGGCCGAGGGGGCTTGGATACCCTCTTCGTGAGTGCTGGCAGAGATCCAGCTATCAGCTGCTGCATGTGAAGAGGACAGATGACTGCTGCCGTAGAGAAACTGCTCAGAGACTAGAAGTCCTTCTTCCCTCCTGGACTTTTATTTGGAGGAGAGAAGAGATCATGGTAGAGATAGTTGAGATCATGTGTATAATGTATAATATTTATTTGTACAGTCATTGTAATATATTCCCTTTCCCCCATTCTGAGTCTCGTGTTTTGTCTGGAAAAAATCATCCCACATTAGGTTGAGATGTGGGAGTGGGCTTAGACTAGGGAAATAGATTTTTGGAGTTCTCAAACCATGACACCCTCACGTGTTTCTTAAAGTACTTTGAGTCTTTCTAATCCAAGAAACAATAGTTAAGTGTTTAAAATTAAATTGTTACTGCTCCTTCAGCATGTCTGAGAAGTACAGTTTGTAACTTTGAAAAAAGAAACCTTTGTTATTAGGAAATCCTTCTCCTTTATTTCTTCTCTGGAAAGTTTTAAGATGATTTCTCTCTGAACCACTTCATCACTTATTGGTATTCCCTTCCCATCCTTTGTCTCCATTGTTAGGGGTTTTCACATGCCAATTTTGGTGCTGCAATGCACTTCATAACTAGAAAAAGGAGACAGTGCTTTACAGACTCTAGGACATAAACCAGGACTAGATCCTTCAAGGGGAGCACTAACAATGTGGTGTGACAATTGTAGCGTCATTGGGATGTGACAACCATTGTATTCTGTCACCTTCAATTTTTTCAACATTTTGCAAAAGGAAAATGTACAAATGTATTTACATCTTTAAATTGGCATAATTATCATAAAATTTTGTGCTTCAGACAATTTTAAACCAAATCAGTACACAGTTTGGGGTATTTTGGTGCTTTGTTTAATTCCCACCACCCAACCCTTTCACACATGCTACTTAAAATATTTCTTCCTTGAACTGTTTTTAATGTTCCATGCAGGGCTCAATTCAACATCTAACAATCAAATCTGACCCAAGGGCTACTGAAGATCATTGTGAAGATGATGATCCTTATGTAAGTATTCTTATAAACACTTGCTCAGTACCTCAGAGATTTCAAAGTAATTTTCCATTTAATATTTTTAATAAGCCTAAATGTAGTATTTCTTCTTAGAAACATTTTGTCATACTTAAAACTATCTCTGTGTGCAAATCATTTTTTTTTTTGGCCTATACTACCCTCAGAAGTGACTTTTCAAAAAGCATCATTTTATTTTGTCTAAAACAGCTTTCAGAAAATGAACTAAGGCTTTTATTTTTCTGAAGGGTAATGAAATACTGCAAGTACTGAAATAAGTTAACATCATAATGACACTGAGGCTTCACCAACTGAAAAAGAAAAAGGTTTTTTTTTTCTGCATTGAAGCTGCCAATTCCTTGGAGATCATGGTTTTTTTCCCTGACTTTTATGAACTTGCTCTCATGATTGGGTTTTGCACAGGCTTCAGGGGACAGCAGTGGCAATGGCAGCATTCAAGAACATGAAGTTTCTGAGGCACAAGGCATCCTTTCACCTTCCCATCTTCCCATGAGGGTAAATTTGTTTGATTTAATTGTAGTTTTTTTACTGTCATAGAACCAGAATTTCTTGTATTTTCATTTGTGACCATTGTCTCTTTTCCCTTTGCTGGCTACCACTAAGAAGGATCTGGCTCTGTCTTCTTTACTCCCTCGTATCAGGATTTTGTACACATTGATAAGACTGGTCTGTGCCTTCTTTCTTGAGGCAGTCCTTCCTCTCTTATCTTCCTCTAATATATCAAAAAGCAGGCAGCTGGCCCCCAGCCAGTATTGCTACATGGGGTAATTCCTCACTGTATGCAGGACTTGAATTTTACTTTGCTGAACTACTACAGCCAGCTAGGGTTCTTCTGGCAGCAAAATCACCCAGTGCTTGATGGCTCTTCTGTATTTTGCATCACATCCCAAAATTTAACACAGAAATCCTACTGTGCTGACTTTTTCTCATTTGGATGCAACTGCAGCAAATTCAAGAAAGATATCTGGATAGCTACTCTATTTAGAAAAACTTAATTCTTTTAGCTATTATTTTAAGTTTCTGTTTAATAACCTTCTTGCACTATTCAAAATTACACACAGCAATAGTAGAGTTTTTGGCTTTTATTCCTCCTTCTGAAAGATGTGGTTTAATCCCAGCTGGCCACTAAAGACTGCACAGCCACTCACTCACTGACCCACCAACCAGAAAACTCGTGGTTGAGATAAAGATGCTTTAATAGGTAAAGCAAAAGCCAGGCACATGAGCAAAGCAAAACAAGGAATTAATTCACTGCTTCCCATGGGCGGGCAAGTGTTCAGCCATCCCCAAGGCAACAGAAGTCCATTGCACGGAACAGTGACTTGGGAAGACAAATGCCATCACCTTGAACATCCTCCCCTTCCTCCTTCTTCCCCCAGCTTTATATTCTGCAATGACACCAGATGGCCTGTGTTATCCCTGTGGTCAGTTGGGGTCAGCTGTCCTGGCTGTGTCCCCTCCCAGTTCCTTGTGCACCTCCAGCCTCCTCACTAGCGGGGTGGGGTGAGAGGTAGAAAAAGCCTTGGCTTTGTGTAAGCACTGCTCAGCAATAACAAAAACATCCCTGTGTTGTCAACACCATTGTCAGCATAAATCCAAACACGGTGCCATACCAGCTACTGTGAAGAAAATTAACTCTACCCCAGCAAAAAACAGCACACAAGAATGTTGTTTTTCAGCATAATCTCAGCATATTACTTGTTGTTGCAGAGTACAAAAAGTAGAAAATTTCTATTTTAATGAGCAAGTATTTTTCTTAGATTGCTAAAAAGTAGTTACAGATCTATGATTTACATGAATAGGGACCTGAAAGTGTAATAGCAATTGCTTATCACTATATACCACTCCCAAGGAGTAAAAATGTGACATTTTCCTTTAATTTTCCAAGCATGTGAGACCAGTCTTGGATGCCAAAATGTTATTTCAAGATCTGTCAATGTTGAAGTAGTACAACGTCATGCCTTCTTCAGAAGACCTAGAAGTTGCCTACAGTTGAATTCCATAATTAAGCTAGAATTAATGCCCAGAGGGAAAAATGTTACCAAAAAAGTATTACAGAATATAATTTATTATTTGCTAATGATGAAGTTGTGGTTGTCATAAATGAAGAGACAAAACATACTTTTTCCCGATTCACCTCTTGAAGATACAGTTGCTTATCGAAGATTATATCATTGCAAACATTTTTGCATTCAGCTATAATACTTCGCTTGCTTTATTTTAATTTCTCCACAAATTATTATCTGTTATGATGTTATTTTAATTTGCTGTTGAAATGTTTTTAAGACTGTCTGGTAAACTGAGTGATGCTTTAAGTACACAAATAATTTTCTCTGAAGTGTTACACTGCAATGTTAATAAAGAAAATATATATATGGCAGATTATCACCCTTTGACAACAAGAAAGAAATAAGCTTCACATAGCTCTTTTTGGTTCTTCAGACACTTTTTGGTGGCAGACTGTCAATGTCTTGGACTGTGTAGAAATAATCTTCACTGTGTCTGTGTGCAGTCCCAGTTAGTACTACAGTAACTCTTTGTGTGAGCCAGTCTCCGAATGGATAATGATACATAGATTTGTGAACCTGAAAGGCCAGTAAATGATTATTCTCTTTAAAATGCAAGAACTTCATGTGAAAGTATTTCCTTGGATTACACACATAGTTTTTTCCAAAATGCCTGGAGAATTTCAAAGGCTATACCAGCATGTAATTATGTAGTCTCCTTCAGCAAAATGCTGTTGTTTAATGCTATTGTCAAATTAGAAACGCTTAAAAGCAGTCGTGGGATTTGTATGCCTTCCAGAGTGACTGCCCATGGACTTTTAATGGGTTTATTCTTTAGAAATATTAAGCAAGAGACAGAGAAAAAAATGACAGTTTAACAATCAGTACAGCCACTGACAGACATTTCTGAGAAGGTTTATATTTATTTTCTACTCTGAAAAACAACTGAAAAATAACAAATCAGTACTTCAAAGCAAATTGCTATGCTGAGATGGAATGAACAAGCCAAAGGTCATAATTGAAATTATATCTCTGAATAAAGACACTTAGCAGTGTTTATGGTGTATATTCTAACTTGTATTTTTCTAGTAAACACTTCCATACTGTGCAGTAGGAATGGATAGCATTATTTGAATTAGTTCAGAATATTCCCACTGAGGAAAACCCTCAGTTTCTGGATTAGGGTGTACGTATGGATGCCAAGAACTGTCAACAAAGAAGCCTAAACTGTAAGAAGATGGTCTAGGTTCCACAGAAAGTCTTGTCTGCATTACCAGAGGACAGAAAATATAGTTTTTCTTCATAACTATTTCTCAAAATAAAGCTTTCCAATCTTTGTCCTACTGTTCTTTTATTTATCTTAACAGTCAGTAATAAACAGAAGGAATGCTTTATAGACTATGCAATGGACACATTCTAAATTGTGTGAATTATTTTCTACTGTTTATGTGAAGTATTGGTTACTCTGCATCAGCAGAGGGAAGTCACTGGACATTGCATTTAAAGAGAAAAGTTGGTCTTCCTTTCCGAAGTCGCAAAGACCCAGTCTTACTAAAGATTTAAAATACAAAACCCTGTAATACGTGACTAACTTAACAACATACTTTTACTATGATTCAGATAAACAAGGTGGATAAAAGAGTTTATTCGTCTCTAAAGATTAATTGAAATTGAATGAGATGAAATTGAAACAGAATGTCAAGAACAAGATGTATAATAATAAGAGAAATAAAAGCAAAGGAAACATGAATCTGTTTCTTTCTCAAGTGGAGTAAATAAATGAAATAAAAGTACTTTCATTAGCTGTAGTGGGGATCATATCTGGCCCACTGTGGAAAAAATTTCATTTCCCCTTCCAATGAAGCCCTAAAGCCTATTTTCAATATGTTTCTCAATAACAAGAAGTATCCTGAAATTTTTCCTCAATTTTAAAGGATGGTGCTACCTCTCTTCCTTTCGCTGACAACTCAGGAACAATTTCAGCAAACCCTTATTATGGCATTTTGCACATATAAACCTGGTTCAAGACCAGCATGCATGGTCCAGTAATTCTACTCTAGGTTACCCTGGCAACATCACTTTTAGATTTTATTTCAATTGCACATGCAGGTTTGCATGAAGTAATCTCCTCACTCCACTGAGACAGCCCTTCTCCAGGTCTCTCATTCCAGCAGGGAGTAGGCTCTTTACATTCCTGCATGCAGCTGATGCAAGGCTATCGAAGTGGCCACCCATTGCCAACCCACAGACAGCCTGGGGAGGCAGGGGGTACCAGCCAGGCTCTTAGACCTGCAGTGAGAAGTGTACATTTCTTGTGGTTTTCTTCCTCTCTAGGGGTTTGTCAAGTGTACATCACTTGCTTTGGAGAAATGGAGTTCAAAGGTATTTTGTTAGTTTTTCCCAAGATGCTTGACCAAATTGGTGTGACATCTGCTGATAAGCAGAAACTAGATTAGTACTGTAAAGAGAAAAATGAGATAGAAGGTAAAATAAATTAAAAACTTGTAAATGAAAGAGGGTGCATATATTGGCCATTAATAAATTTTGGTTTTCATGATAACAATGACAGTTAATATTTTTAGAGGAAGCATAAGTGTAATGACAGATACTGGCAAGATAATAATTGGGAAAGATCTAGATTTATGTTTTGCTTCATAGATGTGGCAATTCTGATTACTGTACTTTGAGGAAGGTAATCTAGCGATTCTTGCTTTAAAATATGTGATAAGCCTTTACTCTAAACAGCTCTTTGGGATTTTTTTTTTTAGCCTGAGGATACGTTGGCTGAGCCGGTGGAAGCCCCCCCAACTATATTGTCTTATTTGGAAGAAAATGATTTCTCCGGAAATCAGAGATCAGAAGAAACCTCTGAAGCACCTAAATTAAAAGAACAAGGCACTGCCTCGGGTTTGGGGATTTTATTTGGGGAGTGGGGTCTCTAGTTCTCTGAGTCTGTCATTTCCCTGTGTATGAAAAACCACTGTCATATTTTGGGTGCTGCCAGGAAATGAAAATCCTATGGGTTTGTACATCCTGTGTGCTAGAAAAGAATTGGTGCATCAAACATTTGGTTTTTGAAACTGCTGTCTGTTAGACTGCAATTTGTTATTAGCAGCAAAGGTAGTAACTGCGAAGTGGTAGCAACTATAGCCAGCGTTAAATACATCTCTCACTTTTCCCTCCATATAAGGACATATCTCAGTCTCACTGTTAAAAATGCAGAGAACAGATATACCCTTCTGTAGTGTGAAAATTTCAGTCACAGAACTATGGTTTATATTTTGAAATTATAAAAAAAAATGGAAATTGGATAAAACTAAGAAACTGACCTGAGGAGCTGCTACTGGGACACTCTACAACACTCTAGTAAAGTGCAAGCATTAAGCAAAGGGAATGAAAGGAGAAAAATCCTCTTCATTCTGCTCAGGTCAGTAAGAAGTATGGCACCCCTTGAGACTACCTTTGCAAACAGTCCTACTGGCTCTGAAGCCATGTGGTACCTTTCAAAGGGATTAAGATGGGTATTTATTTGGTGACCTGTTAAAGAAAAGCACAACCTTTCATATAAAACTGAATACCGCCATTGAATAAATAACTATATCCTACTTCTGTTCCCTGAATAGAATGTCAATCTGCCTAGTGCACCAGTAGGGTGTTTTGGATGTAAGTGTAGCAGCAAAGCTATGAGAGTAAGACATAATGCATTGAGGAATCCAGTCCTCTGCTAGCAAGACAACTTCAGTGCACTCCTAGAAAGCAGAAAGAAAATCTGGTCGTCTTAATAAGGCCAAAGATAATGTTCTTATTTAAATGTTGTACATACTGCAGATAGTACCTGTTGTACTTACCTCTTATTTTTTATGTTATATAGCTGACAAATGGGCAACCATTAGACTAGGACTTGAGGCAAAAATTATGATGCAATACAGCCCTTGTCCTTAAAACAGACATTTGTTTTGTAATTTTACTCTCACTTTTATTTCCTTTCCTTTTAAAATTTTCAGAGTTATAAAATGATTAATATTAATCTTTGGTGATTAATATTAATTTTGGTCATAATCTAAATAATTACTTTCTTTGTACAACTTGCAGCATCTGTCTCTGATAAATACCTCTGGGCAGGTTTTATTTTGCTCTCTCAATAGTAAGTGATTATTTTATTTAGATTCATCTGTCATGGAAACTGGACAAGGAAACAGCGAGTCTACTACTGTCACGCAGAAAATCTTAAGAGAAGAAGATGGCTCTGCTGCTGGTGTTTTGCCAGAAGTAAGCGGAGAGGAGGTCTGTATAATGGATTTATCATACACCTTATCTTTTTGTCCTAAGAACAGGAAAATCTGTGAATTACAGGTCTTTCTCTGAGTTGGTACCTCTAGCTATTCCATCTTAGCAGCATGGCAAAATAAAAGCTACTTTTTAAATTCTTGAATATCTTCTCAAGATATCAGACTGAAAAGCACTAACACTACATAGAAGTTTGCATCTATAACCATTGAAATGGGCTTGAGATTTTTGTCTAACAAAATGAATTTGTTCTTTTGGTTTTGCTTCTTTTTTAATTTTACATCTAAGAAAGTGAGAAACAAAGAAAATAACCAGCTAAATCCTCATCATAAAAGTCCACAATTTTTATGCCCAAAAAGCAAACATCTTGGTCTTAGTCACAGTAACCACCTTGGAGGTGAAAGTCCTACTTCCTTCTCTGAAACAGGACATATAAACAGATTTAAAATTACACCAAGTGCTTCTGTATGAAGTACTAAGTGCAAAGAAGTCCTTCATTATCACACTCCTTCATTATCAGGTAATCCAGACAGAAGACTGATGCTAAACCACACTAAACTTTGGGGGAATTCATGCCTAAAATGTGTCTCAGTGGTTTTCCTTAGTTGACAAGAGACTAATCTGAAAATTAATAGTTTATGCAAATTATCTCTTTATAAGACCAATCTTACTTGAATTACCATCAAAGAGGCTGATTGTCTATTGAATGTCTTGACAAGGGAATGACTGGGTGGATTGCACTGGAGAATTGTCTGCAGCTCCTAGTTATTTCTTTAAGAAGGCGGTGTATGCTGCCTCTTGACAGCTGCATACTTAAATATCCTGAGAAGAAAATTCCATTAAACAAGTAAGAAGCAACTTTTCTAGCATTCACAAAAAAAGATGCTTTGACTAATGAATTATTAGGACTGAGCAAACTTTACAGCCATAGATGGCCTTATATCAAAGTTGAGGCAAGTCAGTGAAGTTTCTTGGGGTCCTTATATTACTCATGTCTGTGTTGGAGTAGTTCCATGAACAAATGCAGGTTACAGCCATGCTGAGCTTCTCTCTAGACTGCCAGGACATTTTTTAGAAGTACTCTAGGAGAGGTGATACTGGACATCTTTTGCCTGTCAGAGATGCCTTCCAATAAACCTGGTCAGGCCATCCTGTTGTAAGCATCCAAGCTTACATTCCTTTCAAGATCCCTCCTGATGGAAAAAGCAATTCTATAAAGTGTGTGTGTGACCATCAAGTGACTTGTACACTACTGAGCAGAAGAAACTCTTACAAAGATGGGCTGTAATTTAACTGGCAAATCAATTTTGCCAGAGCTAGGAATAACTGTAAATTACATTCAAAGCATTGAGGCTAGTCAAATTTTCAGAATAACTCTTCGTCAAATCCCTTATAAAATTAGATTCTCCGTTTGAGTAGACTCCTGTAGGCCTGGCTTCTAGATAAGAAAATTAAGAGAAAATGCAAGTCTGTAGCCTGTCTCTGGTTTGATGTTCACACAGAGTTAAGGAAAACAGCAGCCCCTTTTAACTCCTACATGGAGAGTACACCAGCCTACATGACTGCAGGTACTACAAACCCCAAGGGGAGTGTCTATCCCATAGGTAGCAAAGTCATCCTCTCTGGTGAGATACCGGACTTTGAAAGATAACATACCTATTGCATTTGAAAGGTAATGTGTAACCTGAATTTTGTGGGATTCTGCAAATTAGAATTACATATGTCACTCATTTGGTTGGAATCCCGTGAGCTGGAGGGCTCGAGCTCCAGCTACTCGAATACTTGCATTACTTGTCAGCATATTTCAAAATAATCAGCTGGCAGTACATTTTTCATTAATTAATATTCTTAATCCAACAACCACCACAGATTTTTCTAAGCAGAAAATATATAATGACCTTTCTTTCCTCTTGCCTTTGTGACTCCTATGCCAGAAATCCATTCTTTGTATTGATTGAAAGTGTAGTTAGTTATGACAGTTTCTCTTTGCCAGAAAATGTACAGCATCACGAATGGCAGAAATTTAGAATAAAAGATCCACATAGTGTGTGTTTAGTTAAGTGTTTAAGGTTGCTCCTCACAGGGTCTTCTGTATTTACTGTGATAAGTTATAACAAGTGGTGAAACATTAGGTCATGGGTGATCCATTGGAGATGACAAACAAGAGGTTTTAATATTTGTTGGAGAACTTCCAAATATAATTCCTCTAACATTTTCATGCCCGCATTCACATTTTTTAAAACAGCAATTTTAATGTCAGATGAACTATTATTTGTGCAATCTTTCTTTTTTTTTTATCCCCCAGTTTTGGGCCATTTTTCTTAAATAAAAATCCAGTCTTGGTTTAAGAAGTGTAACACATAAAGCTTAAATCTATTGTGACAAGTAGTTTTGCTACTTATTCATCTTTGCAAGTTTTTTTCTTGACCTTATTTCAATTTCTACATGCTTTTCACTGCATAGATAACCACGATGATTATATAATATGCTAATGAGCAATCTTTTAGAAAATATTAATAAAAAAATTTGTTACTGCCATTCATCTCTCAGTTTTTACTTGTGCCTGGTGATACTCCTTCCTCCAATGCTCCAATCTCTCTAGATCCCTCTTCAAGGCCTCTTGGCCTTTGGGGGAGTCAGCAGCACCTCCCAGTTTGGTATCATCTGCAAACCTAGTAATGGTGCATTCAACTCCTGCAGCCAGGTCACTGATAAACGTACTGAACAGAATTGACCCTAGAGTCGATCCTGAGGAATGCCATTAGTGACAGTCACCAGCCATATGTAGACCCATTCACTGCAACCCTTGAGCTCTGCCCTTCAGCCAGTTCTTTACCCAGTGCACCATAAACCCGCTCATCTCACACTTGGACAACTTGTCCCAAAGGATGCTGTGAAGGACAGTATCAGAAGCCTTACTAAAATCCAGAAAAATCACATCCATCTCTGTCTCTTCATCCGTTATGTGAGTGACCTCATCACAGAAAGGTATCAAATTAGTTAAACAGGACTTTGCCTTTGGGAACCCGTGTTGAGTGTGCTTGATGATTGTAGTATTCTTTAAATGCCTTTTGATAGTACTCAGTATAATCTTCTTCTTAATTTTTCCAGGAACTGAGGTTAGACTAACAGATCTGTAATTCCCTGCATCTTCCCTTGCATCCTTTTTGTAGGCTGGAATAATGCTGGCTATCTTCCAGTCAATAGGAACCTCCCCATACTCCCAAGACCTTTAGTAGATGATTGAGAGGGGTCCTACCATGACATCCACTAGCTCCTTCAGTACTGTTAACAATCTGTATCAACAGTCCTGTTATCTTATTCAGGTTATGGTCTTACCCGCAGCTTAACTAAATAGATTCTCTTCTAACACTTTTTCAGATGGGAAAAAATGAGACGAGATTAAAAAAAAAATTGCTGGGCTGGACTTTGGGACCTTTCCTTGTGACAAAACCCAGAAAGGTCTTTAAAAAATCAGCTAACAGTTCTTCTGTTAAAAGCTGTCATCCTGCTAATTTTAAAATACTTGGAATGCTACTATATTACATCTCTCCTAGTTTCATTAGCTGCTAATGGAACTCAAAATATTTCATCAGTGCTATAAAATATGAGTAAATCCTAGTGTTTATTTCAAAATACAGTAATTACTTAAATGTTCCATTCTGTACACTGGATTTTAATTTAAATATGAATTAGTGTCTGAGCTTCATTCCTGAAAGGTTTTATTTTATTCCTGGAATATTTTAAATTATTCCTATTATTATTCTTACTTTCTCTTGACTAAATACTAATGCTTAGCAATATTTTGGTCTTGTTTGCTGTCCATTTTTACTCTTTGCTATCAGTTTTCCTGTTTCATCTTCTGTCACATTTTTACCAAACTGGACATATAACCCTCTTTTGTCAGTTTTGTAGATCTTGGGGGAGTTGGCTGAAGCATTCCTAAACATGTCTATTTTAACTCTCACAATTTTCTCCCAGACAGACTCAGTCTGGGAAAACAGCCTTTTTCAAACCTATTTTATTGATTTAGACTGTGTGGATTTATGCAGGTATAAAATTAGATCATGGTAACCAGCTCAGTGAGCAACTTATTTGTGCATAAATGAGCTCTAATATGGATTATCTTTGCTGAATGGAATATACTGTTTGTATGGTGCCTATAAGGTTTGTGACTGCATTGAACAAGGCAAGGATTCTAAGAGGGAAGGGAGGAAAGAAAGAGGGAAAAATGGGAAAAGTAATGCAACACGTTTTTCATATATCATATTTTATTTATTGAGGACCAGAAAGGTCAGGAAGTAGAAGACGGGTCCACAGGATCTCTAGGAGGGTCAGGAGCAGAAGATTTGCAAAAAAAAGGTCAAGGACCTCCTGGACCTCCAAGGAAACTTGGACAACTTGATCAGCCTGTGAGTATTTTCTATCTGTTGAAAGAATATATTTAAGAAAGGGCAATAGCCAGCCATCACACGTGCATGAAGGGCTGTAACTGCACAACCTTACACACTGGCATCAGTTGTACTTCTACAAGATGGATTTTAGCCAGATGTATGTCCTCAGGAAGCATCCTAATTGGTAGAAACTGAATAGATTCATGTGGGTCAAGACAAAAAATGCTTTAGCAGATGGTGGCAACAGGCTGAGGTTAATGGTATGATTTGGTGCACTCAGAGCAGCAGTTTGCAGTAGTGTGTTACAAATACATCTTTCTATTCTCTGTTGACTATCACTTTTGTATGAAATTAGATTTCTTTCCAATGTCCAGTTCCTCATAGTTTGAAAGTTGTCAGGGAAGAGGCAGAATTTTAGCCCAGAATTTACCTGCTGTAGGCATATTCAGCAACTTTGCAATATTTCGAGATTTTCTTACTTCTCAGATAAGTAAATGCCTGAGACAGAAAATTTGAAGAGGACTTCTCAGACAGCTGTCACTATTTATTTTAACAGAACATTACAGTTTTCAAAATGTTTGTCATCAGTACTGTGATGGTCCAGTTAGCACTCTGTGAAATCCAAATGCAGCCTGCCAAGTGTTTCCATCTGTATCCCCCAAACTCACAAAGTGGTTCCTCTGCCTCTTTGTTGTGGGAAGCGCAGTAGTGGTGAGAGGCAGATTTTGTGAGCTACCAGCTGCATAGAGGTCCAAGTCCCAAATCTCATTCTACTGCGGAAACCAAAAGTTAGAAACTAGCACCCTTATATCCAGCCTCTGCTGAAAGTGTACAGCCTGTTTAACCTGCACAAAAAATAATGTCTAATTAAAAAAAGTTATTTTCTTTTAGGGTAAAAATAGACTTCAGGAATTGCCAGGACTGAAAGGAAAAGCAGGCCTAAAAGGTGAAAAGGTATGTGTCCTGTTAATAAACAACAATCAGGTACCATTTATGCTTAGAGATATGTTAATTTGTACATATTTGTATTGGTACGGTCTGGGAGATAGATGTGGAATCATGGGAAGAATTTAAACATTCTACTGTTCATCCAGGAATGCATGGAGGTCACCATAACAGAATCCTAAGTATTTTTCAAGGATATGAATAAATTTCAGTTATAGAAAAAGTTGCATTTTCACAGGAGAGCTAAGGAAGGTATATTGAACACTTAATAAAGAAAAGTCAATTGTTATATATGACCACTTTGGGCAACTTACTCTACTGGCTAAGTGATTTAGCTGAGGTAGTGTAATCAAATTACCCTTAGGAAATGAACATAATTGAAATAAGAGCTAAACCATCTGAAGTAACAACTTGTATCTCTTCTGAGACAAAGTGAGATAAAATAGATTAATCTGTTATTAAAGTTCATGTTGTACACAAAATTGGTATACAGACAGTTACTCCAAGTGCCAAATTAATAATCCCTTTCATCTGTTTACCAGAACAATACAGTCACTTTCCAACAGAGATGAATTATCTACAGCACTTACCAGCCAGCTCAGTGCTTCTAAGATAAATCGCACGATCAGCACTGAGAATAGTAATACACAGTTTCTAGGTTTTACTAATAATAACTATTCCATATGTAGTATTGGTAATTAATCACATGTATATCTTGGTATTCTCAAAGGCACATTATAGTTCAAATAGAAATATCCTGCAATAAATGAGTTAACAGGGTCTTGAGTGATGACCAATGTATGTTAGAAATTAAGATCACAGTAGTTGCCCATTTGGGGCAACACTGTATACAGAGACAACATCTCAGCCTTGGCCATATTGATCATCATAACTGGTCTACTCTGACCTCCAATCGGGAGACCTGGAGACACACCATCTATAAGGCTGCTGCTTCCTTTGAGAACGCACGCAGGATCACTCTCGAGGAGAAAAGACAGCGCAGAAAGAATCGTGTATTGCAGAATATACCACCTAAGGAGTCTTTCTGCTGTGCCTTTTGCAATCGGATATGTCTATCTCGTATTGGCCTCATTAGCCACCAGCATGCTTGCAACAAATGTGGATAGAGCCTTCCCAAATCTTCGTTCGCGAAGCCTAGCCATGATGATGATGAGTATCCAGAGAACAGCATTGCTCTGTAGGTTTGACAGTCAGACTGGTTTTGCCCCAGAAAGTACATGGACTCAAGAGCCTGTCAGCCCTTGCATGAGTGGGCTGCATGGCAGAGTGAAGCAATGGTTATTCTGCTTTTGAAGAGCCACCACTGGAACAGTGCATATGCACTATTACGCCTCCCCCTAGACTCGATAACCTGTGGTACAGCAGCTTCTGAGAGGAAAGGTATCATCTTGCATAGTCCCATTGGTGGCAGGAATTCATGCTTTCATTTGAGCTGGCACTGTTCCCAGACACATTGTGTCTGGAATATTTGTCAATGCTTCACAACATATCTACACACTTGTCAGCTTTTCCATGACTTTTGATGAAGCCCTTAAGCAGGAGTAGAATCTCTGGATGTAGTCCAGAACTGCAGGTGCCTGTAGTCCATTATTCTCTATTACTATTCACCCCATTTGGCTAATTCTCTACATTACTCTTTCCTGATACATCCCCCTTGCAGATAGTGTCTTCCCTCTCTATGGACACTTGCAAGGAGCCTCTTTTCACTCTTCTGTGCTGTGGAACTACTGTAATCCCTCTAGCAAAAGGTCAATTTCCCCTATAGTGTTTGCCAGTCACACTGTGGAAAAATAATGGCCTAAATGTCATTCAATAATTAGCTTCTTATGTTTCGGGCAAATCTGCTTTGATCCTTCTTGTGACCAGAGTAATTTCCAGGGTGCTCGGTACTGACATAAATAATTAATGTTAGGAAACTGTAAAATTAGTCAAACAGCTTTTAGTGGAAAAAAAAGCAAATGGGAAAGATGTCAAGATTATGGTTGTTTACATTTCTTCTATTTATTAGCTAAGTGAAAATTTGCAAATGCAGCTTTGTTTTGCAGCTGCTACAACTGCAGCTGCTATTAGGTGATCATTCTGATCATTCTGATCTTCAGCAACAAGTGCTACAGCTACGCTGCCAAATGGAACAGGGCAAGGAACTGACTGATTTGCTGATATTTGGGACTTGTGAGCGTGGTCCCTGACAATGTTTTGGCCCATGTCAAATAGACCTCTCTCGGACAATGTCTCGAGGGTAACATTAGCTGTTAACTGTTCCCACTACGCTGCAAGATGAGACTGCGCATAGGCTGGGTCTGTGCTCTCCCAGTGCCATCCAGTAGGCTTTTTACTTTGAAATACTTGTGCTGATGGATTGCAATACAGTTGTCATGTTATTTCATGAAAAGTGCACAAAAACCCCATACTCAAAATACTAGCTTTGAACATACACAGCTAAAAGGAGGCCCAGGGCCAGCTAAGTACTGTGAACCCAGCCAGTCTGTTCTACCTGACCTCAGGGCCAAAGAATGGTCCCCAGCCTTAGTTTATTGATTAGAATAGCCATCGGAAGGAGAATATTTCAGCAACAGGAGAAGCAGCTTAGCTCTGGAGAGCTAAAGATATATTGGGAAGGAAAAAACTCCAGTAATCTCTTCCTGATTACTTTTATGACTATTTTAGTAAGGACATCTTAAGCTTAGATTTTCATTTTAAAATTTGGACTAATATTTTCAAGGGACACTTCAAAGAGACATTGTGAAAATAAGTTAACAAATGGGCACTAAAAATCCTAACAATAGGTTCAAAAGCTCTAAGGAAAACTGACAGCTTCATATGCAGAGCTTTTTCTTGGCAATGCTTTCATCATCATCATCATCATGGCTGGGCTTCGCGAACGAAGATTTGGGAAGGGTACTACCCATGTTTGTTACAAGTACGCTGGTGGCTAAAAAGGCCAATATGAGATAGACACGTCTGGTTGCAAAAGACACAGTGGAAAGACTCCTTAGGTGGTATATTCTACAAGACATGATTCTTTCTGCATTGCCTTTTCTCCTCAAGAGTGATCCTGCGTGCTTTCTCAAAGGCATCAGCAGCGTTATAGATGGTGTGTCTCCAGGCCTCCCCATTTGAGGCCAGAGTAGACCAGTTATGTTGATCAATATGGCCAAGGCTGAGATGTTGTTTCAGGGAGTCCTGGTATCTTTTCTTCGGGGCTCCTCTCATGCGGCAGCCGGTGGCAAGTTCACCATAGAGCAAGATCTTAGGGAGGCGGTGGTCCTGCATCCTGGAGACATGCCCTGCCCAACACAGCTGTGTTCTCAGTAACATGGCCTCAATACTTGTGACTGCTGCCTGTTCTAGAACAGATGTATTGGTCACATAATCTGACCAGTGGATGTTCAGGATTGTATGGAGGCAGCATTGATGGAAGCGTTCTAGGAGATGCAGGTGGTGGCGGTAGATAACCCATGATTCAGATCCATATAAGAGAGCAGACAGCACAATGGCTCTGTAAACACTGGTCTTGGTACTTTTCTTCAAGTGTTTATTTCACTAAACTCTTTTATAAAGCTTTCCAAAAGCACTATATGCCTTGGCTAACCTGTTGTCTATCTCTCCGTCAATCTTACTGCCTGAGGAGATGAGGCTGCCTAGGTAATTAAACTGCTGGACTGATTTGAGCTCTGAGGCAATGCTTTAAACAGACCCAATTCCTGCGGTAGAAAGCAGGACAAAGAAGAAGACACTGATCTGAGCCTCTTTTACACATGTGAATAATTTTTAAGTTATTAGTTGTTCAGAAAATCATTTCATTATCCCAATCAGTGTGATTTCCTAGGACTGGCTGTGTTCACAGGGGGAGCAAAGCTTAAAGAATTATCTGTGAACACACAAAAATTCAAACCAGTTATGCTCTTCAAAGAGAATCGGCATTTTTTTTTCAGCATAATAATATTGAAATTTGAGGAACTGCCTGCTTGTTTCTGGTTCTTCTCACTGAAAATGGAAAGCTGGGAATGAATGGGGTGCTACATATCAGTGGAGAGTGGGCAGCTGGTTGTCACTTTTCCACTATGGTCCATGTTCTGCACAGAGATACATCCATGAGATGCTCCTTATGGAGGGAATGGCTGCGGTTAGGCTTCCAAAACAATAACTGTGATCCAAATGTGAGAGCTGGGGATTTTTTGTCTTCCACACACAAAGTGGAAGAAATTGCATGAAAATAAACACCAAAAACTGACAGAAGCTAATGTAATAATCACTGGAAAAGCAAAGTGTATGTTAAAATTAATGAAGAGCATCTGTAAAATAACACACTGGCAGACAGTAAAAATAACCCCAAATGAATTAAACACATTCTCTGTGGACATGACTGAAGTATCACTATAGGAACCATTTGACAAAGCCACAGGGAACAAAGAACTGAATGAATACATTTATCTAATTAATTCTCTAATTAATAAAGAGCAAGTGACCAAGAGGCAGGTAAAAGTCAGTGTTTCCTGCTATGTAACTGAATATGTGAATTTAAAAAACACAATTAAAATGCTCATAATCTCAAATAGTAAACTGGCAGGTTAGAGGGTAAAGCATAGATCAGTAGAGGCAGAACCTCAACTCTTGACTCCAGTGAAAAATACTGGACTTGGGCAGAAAAATTATTAAAATTAACAAACATCTTAAGCTGAAGCAGTTCAAACTAACCTCAGCAAAATGTCAGAGGTAATGTAAGAAAGCCAAAGTAGAAGAGATGGTACTAATTATAAAAGAAAATGACACATATCTGAACAGTGTCATTCATTGTGTTGACACTAGATAAAGATCAATATATAGGAAAAAAATCATGATGTGGTGGTATTGGAAAAAGCATTACAGATCTGTGGTGTGACCACAAATGTATTTATTTATATCCTAAAAATGCAAGTTCCACAGTAAAACTTTATTCTGGCAAGATATATACACTGTCTAATACTGTCAATGCTACTTGTACATTTGCAAATTCATTGAAGAAGCTAAAAAAAGGAAGAGATCTTTCTTTCTTTGCCAATGCAAAGATCATGTTTCTTGAGAGTTTGTCTTAGAAATGAACAAAGTTCAACCCTGCTCATAGCATCTAAGCAGTTGCTTTTGTTGTTTCTTGTGACTGGAAATCCACACAGATTGTAGCTAATGCTTATAGTATTTATATAGTTAAATCCTTGCTGGTTTATCTTAATTCCCGTTTCAGGGTGATCCTGGTGAGGGATTGCCAGGACCCCCCGGACTACCAGGACCAGCAGGACCATCTGCTCCTTCCAGAGGATTAGTGAGTATTTGAGGATCTCTGTCAATGAGCTCAGCTTGCCACAGAGGAATCCAGAACTAAATAGGTTTTCACTGGGAAAGTAGCCTGACTGCCATAGATAAAATAATGTTTTCTAAAACAGTCATGCAGAAGTGCAAATAAATGCCTGATTAAGGTGTGTGCATTCTGTAAGCTACATAAACACCCAGCATTCTCTGACTTCAAGAGACTAGCAAGGCAGCAACAGATCCCTAGGACAATGTGCTCCAATCCAACAGCTTTACCTAGTCAAAGGCCACTTCTATAAACAGTGAACACCAGGTCCTGCACCACCTTAACTTTCTTGTTCTCTGTGATACCAAGTTTCAAGGTTTTTACTTCTGGAGTGAAGTGGAGGAAGTCTCAGTACATCCTTAACTCCCAGACTTTTGAAACATTAGCTTTTGTACTACAATAACAGATTCAGGTAGTAGTTCTCTCTGTGCTTTGGTTTTTAGTTTGCAAAACATACACAGCTATGAAACTCATCAAGAACTAAAGTGGTTTTTTAACAAAATACTTTAGAAAAAGCTTCAGTATATTAATTTTTTCTTATAAAATGCCTCTTTTGATTCCAGTTGTGAGAATCTTAGAATCTGGCTTTTTAACCAATAGGCGCATTCTAGGAAACAGTGGTTATTTGTTAGATATGTGTTTGGGGATATTTTTAATCTTGACAGGTATCTTTCTGAAGTTAAAATTTGTCTGAGATATTGCTTCATCTTCAGTTCACTTAGTCATATAGCATGTGTGTCCTGCAGGATGGTTGTCACTGTGCTCATAGGGCATCTGCAGGTAAATATAGTGCTCAGTGTCTGCAAAATAAGATGGTATGAAACAACAGAAATGTGACTGAAATGTATTTGTTGTATTATAATTTATTTCACTGCTGCAAGGATATTGACTATAGCTGTATTTCCAGTAATTGTCAAGTGATATTTTCATTTATCACCTTTAGAAGCAATATTTTAAAATGGAATTCTCCTAATTTCAGAATAGACTGGAACCCGAAGAATCAGGTTCTGGAGATAATGACAGAGAGACTGAGATTTTAATTGTAAGTATATGTTGATATTTCTCATTAACATAGTAAAGAGCTTTATTTTACTCCTCCAGATCATATAAGGTCAATTTCAAAATGTAAATTTTGTACATGCTTCATTTACAGCATCCAGAAAGGATTTCTAGGGTTTCATTTCAAGATCTGAAAAGGCCTTAATGTATGTGAGTGGGGAAGAAGTATGAGAAAGGAGGACAACAAAGAAATAACAGCAAGAGGACTTGTAAAAACGAGAAAATGCTTTTAATCTGATTCTGAGAAGACAGTAAAGAGGAGAGAGGTGGCAATCATAGATCCATAGAATCGTAGAAAGACTTGGACTGGATTGGGATATTAAATGTTATCTTGTTCCAACCCCTCTGTCATGGGCAGGGATACCTTCCACTAGACCAGGTTGCTAAAAACCCCATCCAACCTGGTCTTGAACACTGCCAGGGATCGGACATTCACAGCTTCTCTGGGCAACCTGTTCCAGTGCCTCACCCCCCTCACAGTAAAAAATTTCTTCCTAATATCTAATCTAAACCTACTCTCTGTCACTTTGAAGCCATCTCTGCCTTGTCCTATCAGTAAATAGTCCCTCTCCTGCTCTCTTGTTAGCCCCCTTTAGTCACTGGAAGGTAATACTATTCTTTGCTTTTTTGAATTTGGAGTACCTGTTCTAAACAAATGAGTGTGTCTGTATGAAATGCTTTACAGTGCAGCTTCCTGACAAACTGAACATCAGTAATACTGCAGCTTTCTGAGTTCATCGTGTTTCCAATGAACTCCAGAATGCTATAGCATACTGAGGCCTTTCCTTTGCAACACAGCTAGTGATATTTTTCATTCTCTCAGACTGGTTTCTGCCTCAAGACTTCTGTTTCTTTTCTTTCCTTTCTTGTTTTGTTCAATACCTTATTCTCAAGGCTCTTCAGAACACAATTGCCAAAAGCTGAAAGTTAGTTATCATGCCTGATTTAGGAGGTTCTTTAGATGCCCTATGTAGGTAATGAGACAGGTGAGTGCTTGGAAAGCTCTGTTAACTGTTCTGAAAGTCCAAGATGACCCTCTTCCTAACAGAATCCCTTAGATGACTTTAAGTCAGAATTAAAGATTTTTTGACTTTCAGTGACATGGCCCAAAATTTCCAACTTTACGTGTTTGCCTGCTAATGCAAGCAGCAACAAGGATAGAATTGCATGATAGAGAATATTTGCAAACGCACTATTTCTTCTAAAGTAATATTTCATTCATTTGATTCAATTTAATTACATCTGCTCATGTCTATGCAGGATAGATCTTCAGAGTAGAGGCCATTTTTACAGCACTAAGCCCTTGACCATGATTAGAGATTCTTAGTGCTCCAAAAACAGCATGGAGAAACCCTTTGAAATGGTAGTTGAGAAAAAACTAACCACTTCCCTCTGTACAATGATCCCTTGGTTTCATTATGGTTAAGTCTCCTAACTTGAGATCGATCCTCAGGATATGTCTGTCTAAGGTCTTTACTGGGCTGCAGAGAGCTGATACAAATTTTTTTGGTTTTCAATTTCCTGCTTGCTGATGCATGCCATGAAGTGGCACAATTCAGAGAACAAGGGTGAGGGAGGTGCGGGAACAAATTAAGTCAGCAGCACCTGCATTCAGTTAATTAGGGTCAAAAAGGAGCATTTTGACCTTGCCTGGTGTTTTTGATAAAGGGAGTTCTGTGTTCTCAAAGAGAACACCGCTTTATGGCCTTCATGCTCTGCGTGTTTTTCCCGTGGCTGAATACAGTTAAATGTGATGCGGAGGGAGGGTCAAAACACCAGTTTAGGATGATCCTGGGAATTTCGATTAACTAAAAGACAAACACTAGGTACTGTTTACAAGAGAATATGAATAAAAGGGGAATGGTGTAAAAGATCGGTGGACAAATCCCAAAATCAAATTCTGTGTGGTGTGCAGCCTCATTTCTTTCGGCACCCATATTTGCCATAGGAGATCAGTGTGACCCTACGAAAGGAGTGTATATGTGAAACTGAAATTGGTTCTTAATGAAGAAAAAGTGGGGTGGAAACCCAAACTGAGAGTTTTATGTACCTGAACATCATGTGTGAGCTTTTTCCTGTTCCATGTATATACAAATGAACCTGGTTAGGCTAATTTCTAACAGTGCTGCTGATTTATCCAGGGTCTTCCTGGGCCACCAGGCCCTCCAGGACCGCCTGGTCTTCCAGGAAAGCCAGCACCTGATTCAGGTGTAGGACCTCCTGGGTCACCAGGGGAAGATGGAGCTTCTGGGGAACCAGGCCCTGAAGTGAGTACCCATGCATGATGTTGTTTCTGTCCTGCAACACTAAGTTCTAAGGCTGACAGTTTATGTAATTCTTTAAAAAATTGCAGAATATTTTTAATTTAAGAAGTTGGATTTTATTCAAATTTTGTGCAAAAAGAAAAGTCTTGTTATCCAAAGCACATTACTTCTCAGCAGGATGTACATTTGGCAGGTGGATACTGGTAATCTAGACCAGAATAAGTAAAAAGTAAGAATCCTTTTACCAACACTGCATAAGATGCAGGGAATTTGTAGAGTAAATTGAATTTTCCTCTTTCAGGAACTCCCTTTTCTTTAGCTAGGTAGAAGCACTTATTCCTGTGGACATGTGAAATATAGTTCTATTGTAAAAAAGTTGCTAAGGTTTGAGTGTTACCTATTTGTTAATAAATCCTCAGTAAAGTGTTTTTTTCAGTGAAGAAAACCAGTTTTTTAGCATTGATCAGCTCTGAGAATCCTCTCTGGAACTAATAGATTAGCTCAGTTAGGTAGAGCATGGTGCTAATAATACCAAGGTTGTGCATTTAATCCCTGGCTGTTCACTTAAGAGTTGGACCTGATGATCCTTGTGGGTCCCAACTCAGAATAATCTGTAATTCTGTATATTTAGTAATATGGTTCCCTTATTCCCTATCAACCATCTGCCAGTAGCAGTTGTACTCACACTACCTTCAAAGTAGGTCACCATTACTGTATCTGACAAGGTGTAATTAGCATATATTAAAGAAATGTATTGGTGACAGATGTTAAAAAGGAGATCTCATTACATCTCAGCTGCCTTGGCATGGTTTTTTTTGAGGATAACTAAGTTGGGAGTTAATACAATATCTAAGAAGTGTTTGGCCATCAAGGTGGAAAACAGCATCCTTTGTGCAGAGAGAAATTAAGCACCTGAAAATCTTTAATATGGGATTCAAGAAGCACATGCATAGGAAACTGGTGAAATCCATTATTCTCTGCACCTACTGATGACATTCTAAATTAAAAAAATTGTCTGAAATGCTGACCAGATGTCATTAAACTGTTAAGCTCCCAAGAGTTTTTTTTTTCCCTTTTGAATCCAAGACAGGTCTAATTGTATTGAGGATTACAACTGTAATTTTAAGAAAGTCCATTGACAAGTCTTGTAAAACAGTCAGTTACCCTAATGCTTTATTTGCTGCATTTGACATAGTGCTGTATTAGATTAAAAGGTGCTCTATAATAGTGTCTTTGCAATTCAAAATATGCTTTCAACTTTCCTGACTATGGCTGTTTATATGTCTTTAGAAGATAAAGTAACTAGAATGGCCTAGGATATATTGCTAAAATTTGCCATAAAATAATAATGTAAAAATGAATTCAAAGAAAATGGAGAAATATGTATTGACTAATCTTTTATTTTAAATATTAATGTAATCCCTCTTGTGTAATCTAGGATTTCACAGGCCATGGCATTAATTACTTGTAGCCACCCAATTCTCTGATGGAGCAGAAATAATTGTTGTCCACTTTCAGGATAATTCCTGGGAGACGTATCAACTAAAAAAGTAAAAGTTAAATGTTAAACAGACTACTGAAGTATGTTTTCAGAAGAATCAGACCAGGACAAGTCTTCAGGCTGCTGAAGGAAAACTCCAGCTATTAACACTACAGACCCACATATTCCCACAATTTCAGATGACCTAAGAAGCTGTCATCCTGCACAGTCTCTGGGTAAATGAAGTGAAATCCATTCCCAGTAGAAATTTTTGGATGGGAATCCTCATTTAGTAACACGTTGAAATATTTTTCTTATTAAGGGTCTTCAGCTGTGAATTCTAATTTCAGAAGACTAGCCAATTACTTGAAGTTGCAGACAGGCTTAAGTCCTTGCTAAATCAAGGACTTTGTGATGTGACATCTCTTCTCTTAAGAAACATGCCTTGGAAATGTTTGATACTGATGTGATATTCTAAATGCTACATGAAGTTAAATTGCCTCATGGCATTGTATAAGGATAGTTTCTATCATAATTTTTTCATTTGAGGTAGCTCACAAATGCATTAATATACTCTGATGAGAATAACAAATCTCCCAATGTTGCCTGCTGGCTAAAAAGAGAAACTATCCTGAAATCTCTAAAGGTAATAAGCAATTTTAGCAGAACAGAACTTAAAATTGCTGAGCAGCATAGGGGAAGTAGCCAGTAAACTTTAGAACAATTATTGTTGTTAGACCAACCTCTCTTCTAATCTTCTTCTGTTTATGTAATTATGCCAAAATACAATATGAAAATGTTTGAAACATACTGAAAATATTTCTGATCTTTTTAATATTGAAAGTAATCCATTAGTTACTCTGTGACATACGGTGAATCCAAAGGGCAAAAGCAGAGAGGAAAAAATAAAGACAGCAGGAAAAGTGAGCCTTTGTGATGATTCTGAAAACATCAGAGGAAAACAATGTTTTCTATCTGCTTCTGCAACTATTTACATCCTTCTCAAAAGCAAATGAATAAATAAACATATAAAAGATCCCCAGAGGCCCAAATACACACCTGTAAATTTAATTAAAGGCTTTCAGAGCCAAATTTAAAAAATATAGGCCATGCAAAATGTAACTGTTACCTTTCTTGCATGTGTAGTTACTGTGGGCTGGACATCAATACCTGTACTGATTGATTCATTGACCTTACGAAGACAGTTTTTCCCAGCCTGCCTATTCACTCAAAAGCATGCTAAGTCATGGATACAACACAGGAGATTGGGTAGAGAATTTAATATACATTTTTCAAGGCAAAATTAAAGTGGGGTATCATGAACAATCTGAGCACCATCAGCCAAAGCAAAGTGGCAGCACCTTTTTTTCTGCAGGAAGACTTCTTAGGAGTACTTTTCTTAAAAGTATAGGAATGCACCTGCAGGCTCAGCAACCTAGGGACACTTGACAAAGTGAGTCTTAATAAACCAAGCACTCCCCCTCATGGAGAGGTGAGGCCCAGCCTCATTGTTCCCGTGCTGGGGTATCACTAGAGTTGTGTGAATCAAGACCTCTGTCACCCTACTGGCTTCTCTGTTTGCAGTGACAACACAGAAGCCTCCTGTTTGATACCATGTCCTCTGTATCACAACTGCTTTTAATGATTCTTTAATTACCTGGCCACATTCTGATTTTGTCAATATCAAGGTTTTCTCAACTGGGTCTCATCTAGCATTGATATTGCCAAAAGTGTGGATAACTGAGATACCTGGGGATTTCAACCTCATTGCATCTTTTGTAATGTTGTCAAAACCTTCTTGGATAGCAACATTATTTTGCATGCTAACGTTATATCCACATCATGCTGGGTTTTATTTTTGTTTACTATTTTATGATTGTTTGATATAATTTTCTATTAAAATGCATCTAAATACTGTTTTGATGCAAAGCCAAAATCTCAAAAGAGAAGAAATAAAAGTGTTAAAACTTAATGGTGTGAGGTACTACCTGGTGCTACACATTAGTCTTTGATAATGCTGTATCATCAGTTGGTCCAAAATACTTAAATACATGTGCTAGAAACTGGGCTCTCGAATGGCACCTGCCTTAGATTCACTGTCATCCACAGGGTCCTCAAGGTCCTCCTGGTCGTGATGGAGTGGTTGGCCCACCGGGGTGGAAGGGAGAAAAGGTAAGTTAAATGTCTGTCTTGCTCCTACTACAGTGGAAAATCTTTGTCAATTCTAGGCTGCAAAAATCATAAATAGTTGTCCCTGCAACACATTAGCAGCTGATTTCAATATTTTTTATTGGAATCCAGCGGCTAATGGCTTATTAGAACACATCTCAACAGGCATTTTCAAAAATCCAGAATTTCCTATTGGATACTGTCTCATTTTCTGCAGCATGCAATATTCAAAATGCAATATGAACTACTCTGTTGTGATTTGCCACTAAAAAGCCCTTCATGACTGGGCTCAGACAGGTGAGTCTGTAGGGGGAAAAAGAGAACTCCAGCTAATCCAGCCTGGCACAGACTGACAGCACGTTATGTGACAGGTGAGGAGAGTCTGAAGGAGCTCAAACCATTTAATGTGGCGAACAGGAGACAAAGGAATGGTTGACTTTGGCTGGACACCAGGGACCCACCAAAGCCACTCTATGCCCAGATGGACAGAGAGAATGTGATGAAAGGCTCATGTGTTGAGATCAACCAGAAATTACTGTCACAGGCAAAACAGACTCAATGTGGGGAAATTAATCTAATGTATTGCCAATCAAAAGATCAGAATCAGATAATGGAAATAAAACCATATCGTAAAAACACCTTCCCTTAACCTCTCCCTTCTTCCCAGCTTTAACTTCACTCCCAATCTCTCTACCTCCTCCACCCCAGCCAGTGCAGGGGAATGGGGAATGGGGATTGCAGTCCTCCCTCAGGAGGACTCCTTACAGTCTTCCCCTGCTCTAGGATGGTGTCCCTCCCATGAGAGACAGTCCTCCACAAACTTCTCCAACAGGATTCCTTCCCACAGGCCACAATTCTTCATGAACTGCTCCAGCACATGTCCCTTCCACACACAGTCCTCCAGGAACAGACTGCTCCAGCATGGGTCCCACATGGCATCACAGGTCCTTAAAGGAGTCTGCTTCCAGTGTGGGCTTCCCTTCCTTCCTGAAGGTGGTCATAGCCCCCTTCGGGCACATCCACCTGCTCCAGTGTAGGGCTCCTCCACAGGCTGCAGGTGGATCTCTGCTCCACTGTGGACCTCCATGGGCTGCAGGGGCACAGCCTGTCTCACCATTGTCTTCACCATGGGCTTCAGGGGAATCTCTGTTCCAACCCCTGGAGCACCTCCTCCCCCTCCTTCTGCACTGATCTTCATGTCTACAGGGCTGTTCCTCTTGCGTATTCTCACTCCTCTCTAATCTGGCTGCATTTGCTCCTGTGCAGTAATTCTTTTCCCTCTTTAACTCTGTTATTCCAGAAGTGCTTCCACCATCACTGATTGGCTCAGCCTTGGCCACTGGTGGGTCTGTCCTAGAGCTGGTTGGCATTGGCTCTGTCAGACATAGGGAATGCTTCTGGCAGCTTCTCACAGAAGCCATGCCTGTAGCCTGCCCGTTACCAAGATTTTGCCATGCAAACCCAGTATGGAAGGCTACAAAATTTGCATTTTAAGTACTGAATTGATATTTTTCACCCCACTTCAAGAAGGATGTGGAGAAAACAGAGACAAAGTCTCCAGGACAATTTCATCCTCTAGTGAGCTCCTACAAGACCCTTTATGCACAAGAACTTGAAAATAGATTCCCAAGTGTACATTGTAATCTCACATACTGTAAGAGAAATGAAAAAGCAAGACTTAAATGGCCGGAATATTGATTTATTTTTGTCTCTGAAGGTTGAAGGTTCTGAGTTGTGATTTCAAAAGCCTGAGTTGTTAAAAGTTCAGCCCACATGGGAACTAGCAGCCATCCAGAAAACACAGTATATATATATTGCAAAGCAGGCACCCAAAATCTCTGTCCATTGTAATAAGTGGTATGTGTTTTACATGAAGGAGTCTAGGAATAGAAAGAAGTCTAGCTGAAGTAAACTGAATCTGAATTGCATATTATAGGAAGAGACTGATGTGGAAAGGGAAGTGATTGGAAGAGACAGTAGATTTTCAAAAAATGCATAATCCTCAAAAAAAGGACAAAACTCAAATGCTTTGCCTCACTAAGCGTGTTTTGCTGCATTGTGTAATTTGATAAAAGTTCAATCAGAAATTAAGTACTACATATTTGTATCTGCTCAATACAATCCCAAGCACACTGGCATAATAGAATTTTTTGCATTTCTACTTCTAATTTTTTTCTGAAAACCTTGATTTAATCTATATTACAGTATGTATTTTAATAATTGTTACTAATTAATCCAGGGAAGATTACAGGGAGAAACTGCAGGATGCACTGAAAATAGATTCAGTTTGTTCCTTGGAGTAACATTTGACATAGGGTTTTGCCGTTGCTTTTGGAAGAAAACTATCATTTTACTCCTGGTGCTTACTCATTTTTTTCAAACCTTACTAAATTAATATTTCTGTTGAGTGAGTAAGGACAGGAGCTTGCCAATACAACAATTAATTCCACTAGATTCAGTGCAATTTGGAAAAGAGGTATTAGCATGCTGTGACTTTCTGTCTATTCAATGAACTAGAAGTGGAAAAAACCAGTATGTAAGTGAAGTGTATAAAAGCAAATCTTGGCAAAATCTTGATTGCTGCAGAGGAACCTTAAAATCATACTACTCATCACATCCTGTGTTTGGAATGGTGCCCTAGACAACGTGTGGGATCAGTTTCCACTTCTTATATCTCATAAGAATTTTGACATTTGCGTTCAGAAGCATGAGGATGTGACCTGCAATGCTTAACTAACTGTGTTCCAAACCTTTAAAATCTGCAGCAATAATTAAAATACAATATTGCATTCTGTCAGCATATCAGACCAGAGCTGTTAATATGTTATTATAACTCCTGAATTAAAAATAGTTTTCTTTTTAACTAGGAGATCTGGTGTTTCAAATAAAGGACATTCACGTAAAGGACATCAGATTAATAACACAGAAATCTGTAGCATTTTTATTAAGGAAAAATATTATAAATTTGTTTTTGTTGCCTGTCTAATGCTCTTACTGCAAATATTTAGTATTGATTTTCTTTTACAGGGTGATCAAGGTCTTCCTGGTTCTGTTGGTCCAAAGGTAACAAAAAGACAGTGTCTTTATAGAGTGACAGTATCACTCTGATACAGGACATTACTGAAAAGGGGATGAAAAGCCTAAAAGATTATTGTTGTGAAACCTAATGAAGTCAACAAACTTGGCTTCTCAATTGGCCAACATACTTCCTTATGAAGCTTGGCCAACAGGTTGAGAGAGGTGATACTCCTTCTCCACTCTCCTTTCATGAGACCACACCTGGAGTACTGTGTCCAGCCCTGGGGCCCCCAGCATGACAAAGACTGTTGGAGCAAATCCAGGAGAGGGCCATGATGATCAGAGGTGACCGATCATCTTCATGATGACCAAGGCCAAGCTGGACAGGGCTTTGAGCAACCTGGTCTAGTGGAAGCTGTCCCTGCCCATGGCATGGGGATTGAAACTAGATGAGCTTGAAAGTCTTTTCCAACCCAAACCATTCTGGGATTCTATATATCTACTTACTTGCATCTAATTATGCACATTTAGTATGTGAATAGACTGACTTTTTATTTTAGGGTGATACTGGAGTCACTGGATCAATAGGCCCCAAAGGAGAAGCCGGTGCTCTTGGATCTCCTGGGAAACCTGGACCACCAGGACCTCCTGGGCCTCCTGGACCCCCTGGACCTCCTGGACCACCAGGACTAAGCTATAGCTTGGGATTTGAGGTACTTTGCTATTATGGAGTTTGTTATAGGTATGAATATATTCCCTCCAGGATCACCTGTGTATTTTACAAGTATTTGAGGATGAATTTATGACAGGGAGAATAATTTTTTCTAGATTGAAATTTACCTAGGAGTAGCCTACAGTTCCTTTTACATTTGACCATAAAATTGACCATGCTTAGACCATGGAAGTAATTGACTTCTTTGGGCAATATTCATTGAATTTAGTGGTAACAGTGTTCAGGTACTATTTTTGATGCTTATATCATTGCTAATATAAAAAACTCAAATACTGTACTACAAGGGAAAATTCTTTATCACTTTTTCTTATGTAAGTAATTCAGAGCAGCAATCAAAATGTACACAGAGACCTGACAGTATTCATTAAAAGGGAACTCCAGGCCCCCCTAAAGTTATGACATTTCCCATGCTGTCACTCATGAGGCCACAAGTTTAGTTTAGGCATGGCATGGTGTAAAGTGTAAATACAGAGACACATGTTGGTCATTTCTGACCTCATGGGCTGTTCTACATAGAAGAAAAATGTTCTATTAAAAAATAAAATTATGGATGCAAACACAGAAGGATCTCAGCTCTAACTGCAGTAAAAATATCTTAACTGGCTTTATCTTGAACTTCATCTAGTCCAAGCAAAATTGGCATATTTGTCATTTCACTAGGAGGAATACTACTGTAAACAGGCTTACTAGTTCTAGCTGATCTTTTGAATGCCCACCCCTGCCATCTGTTAAGGCATCACCATGGTCTGCCAGTTTGTTAGGGTGACACTACTTTTTGGTTGGCAGTCTGTTTATTGCTGTAAGACTGTTTCTGCAAAACATTCCTGTTAGCACTTGTTAGCATCTGTGATCAGCTATGTGCAAAAACCAAATGGCATGGGGTTTGCTGGCACTTATGCTTGCCAAAAGAACAGTTTGAGCTGCAGAAGGTACCTGATAAACCCATTAAAAACATGCAGATGTCAAAAGAGATGGTGTTATATAAAGCAGGCATCAAGCACCCTCTTAAAGGGAAAAACAGACTGGCACAGAGCAGTCAAGGGAAAGGACCCAGAAACACAATTTGTGGTTTACCCTAAGCAGTGAGTGTTTGGTTTAACAAAGAGAATATAAGGACATTTTCTGTTGGTATTTGATACATTGGTGGCTGATGGTGGAGCAGAACGAAAGTCTGAATAACATTCAGTCTCAGGTGAAATTACATGAAAAGTCTTCCTTGGCCCCAAAAGGAAGGATTTGATTCCAGCTGTGCGTTCCTTCTGCTTCTCTTGCTCCTGTGGAATTGGCAAAAAGGGCAAAAGAATTCGATCTCTCATTTTCAGTGGAGTCAGGTCAGCTGATGTTTTCCATAACTTCGGCATTAGGCTGTCCTTCAGTAGCAGCTTAAGCTCATCTAATTGGTCTCCCACCCTTTCCCTTACACCGTCTCCAGAGTGCATCACACTCATGCTAATCCTAGCCATTTCAAGTCACTAACTAGCATAAAGCTAAGTAGGCAAGGAGTGCGGGTCCTCTAAACATGACAAATTGATACAAGGGCTCATGGTCACTAAGAGGTGGAGATTCTGCTTTGTTCCTGTTCCTTTTCCCATCTCAGACATTCCTGATACATGCTTGCCCTTCACATGCACTAACAAGCAGCGTTCCATCAATTCTTCAGCAAGCCAATTTAATTTACTTAAAGTTTAGAGAACCATCCCAGAATGATCCCACACCCAAAAAGTAGCATATTTTCTGCCATTTTAGTGATGTAAAGGAAAGTGAGAGGATTCAACACATAGCACTGATGTTGAAAATGAAAGCTGTATGGCTCTGAGCAAGGAAGTGGAACAAAGAAAGATTAAGATTTTCTCTTTTCAGAAAAAGGCAAAAATTAGGCCAGCACAACTGCAATTAAAACTGTGGCTAAAAGCAAGTGAACAGTTTCCTGCTGGCATGGTTCATCCAGATGTTTTGAAGCACATCTAGACAAGTCTAGACTAGGCATAAGACAAGGGATAGGAGCATGACAGGGATGGTGCTGGGAGTGAAAGAGGTAATTTTGGCAGCCTGCAACTTTACTTTTTTGCTGCTTTGCAACTGGCAGCTCCTGCTTCTGCCATGGATCTGGAATGTCAAAAACAATGAAAGCTGGAGGGAGGTTGCTGCTTTCTGTGTAGTTTCCTTTAAAACTACTAGAAAATCTCCACAGAAATATGGATGCTGCTCTCAAAGACTCCCACTACACAGACTTCTTTCTGAATTCATCAGAAGGTCATGGCAATGGACAGTGTGATGGAGCAGATGACTTATAAGGAAATTCCCAGGGAACCAAGCTTGCTCAGTCTGGAGAAGGTTTAAGTCTCCATCCCTGGAAAGTTCCGAGGCCTGAGGAGACAAAGCCCTAAACAACTTGATTTGAATTTAGTGTTGACACTCCTTTCAATAGAAGGTTGGGCTAGATTGCCTCTGAGATCCCTTTCAACATAATGAATTATACAATTTTGTGATGGAACATTTTTTTTCTGCTCAGTTTCAGTAAGCTGTATTTTAGGCAGGAGTTCAGCATTCAATTAGGAAGGATTTTCGTTTGCGAAAAATTATTGCTGCTCTTACCAAACTGTCTGTGATTTCTTCTGACCATAAGTCCGTTCTGTAACCCTTACCTATGGTGTTTCTGTAGCTGGGTGGTAGGTAAATGCTAAACAGAAAAATACTGCTACAGAATGCTTAAACATAGTACATACTTAAAAGTGTGATGTTGTCTCACTTCTGCCTGGTGTTGTGCAGCCTGAAGCGCTGGAGAAATGGTGTCAAATTGGCAAGATAGTAAAGAACAGAGTTTCTGTAAGGAAGATCAATATGGTTTTATCACATTTGAGTGGAGCCTATCTCAAGAACATCATCCATTGGTCAAAAAAAAGGTTAATGAGAAAAGATAAAAATATATGTTTCTGGTTTTTACAGGACTCCAGAAAACAGAGCAGTTACAAAATTTTAAATTCTTAAATTCTGTAGCATTTTTTCTCTTCCATTAGGACATGGAAGGATCAGGTAGCCTGTTAAGTGAATCCAGAATTCCAGGATCAAAGAGGCCAAAGGTAAGTGGATTTTTTGGGGGAAAGGAGTGTAGTTTGTTGTTGGGTTGTTGAGAGATTTTTTCAAGACAAAAATGTCCTCCTTTCTACACTGGACTGGATTCACTTGCTCTAGAATGGTATTACAACAACTGTGTCCTCCAAAGAATATGAATAGTATTTCTCTGATACCTCATTAGCTAATGATTTTTAGGTTCTACTCTGGTGTATTTTTGAGCTATTAAAGGATCATATAGGGGGATGATATTATCTAGCTCTCTATTTCTTTTTTTACCCCAGTAGATTCCCTTCTTGCATATGAAGATGAATTACGTGTATGAAAATGAAACTGAAATGTTGTAGTTTGACAATCAAATGTGCATAATCTGACATGCCACTTTGAAACTAAAAAATTGTTCCCAGTAGTGTGGATCAATGTCATAGAAAAAGAGATGCTTTTTTTCCTCCATCACTATGTCTCAGGACATTTTTTGCTAGTATGGGACACTTTAAATAATCAAGTAGGGAATATGGGAATATAATGCATCAGTGCCTACAGATCATTTGGATTTACTTTCATTCTTAGCAATATCATCAAAACTGCAGCCTATGATGCCTTTACCAAAGCAGGCAATTATCCAGCATTTCCCTTACAGAACTGTCTGCACTGTTCTAGTTTGATTTTCAGATGTCCTGCCCCTGTGCTCACTCCAAAAGAAATGTTTGAACTTTCAAAGCATAGATTTGTAAGGATGGCTCTTGTTGTCCAAGTTTGGAGAAAGTGCTGCTGCTGCTGACCTTGGGTTATGATAGATGACAGACTGAACAGTAGGCAACAGTGCACAATCATTGCAAATAAGGCGAACCCTGTACTGGAATGTATCAGAAAGATACAGATGTAGAGATGTTATTGTTACAGGCCTTCCCTCAGGGCTAGTGAGGCTGCACTGAAGTACCAAAACCATTTTCTTCTACTCACTACAAGAAGGATGTGGAGAACACAGTCCAGCAGAGACCTGTACAGAGGACATGGGACCTAAAGTCCATGGCCAATGAGGAGAGGCTGAAGGAGCTCCAGTTTAGTCTGGCAAAAAGGGAGACCAAGGCATGATCCAATAGCTGCTGACAAGTCTCTGAGGGGCAACTGCAAATATGATGAAGCCAAACTGTTCCTTGTAGTGTCAGATGGTGCAACAAGGGACAGTGGTCACAATTCACAGTTTGAGATGTTCAGGCTGAGACTTACGAGAAGCCTGTTCATCAGGAGGTTGGTGCAGAACTGGAGCAATTTGCAGAAGACCTGTTGTTGGAAGTTATCAAGACTTTGCTGGACAGAGACACTGATCTGATCTAGAGCTGGTGACAGTTCTACTTTGAGGGGATGGTTGGATTAGATGGCCTCCACAGGCCCTGTATAACCCTATTTCTATGATTCCATGAGTCATCAGAAACTAACTGAACACTGGGGACAGGAGTGACTTTGAGCAGCTCTCTGTTGTGTTGGTTTAAAGTACTAATAATCATGAGTCACTGAAGTTATAGCTGACTCAGTTTAAGACCTTAGAGACCTTTGACCCCTTTTATACCTTTTCCTGGATACTAAAAAGTGGCACGAAATAAGTTGCAAAAATAAGAATTGAATTTGTTAGCTGAAACAAGCTAATGTCCAAAACCAGGGCCAAAATTCCCTATTCTGACCTGCCTTAATGACAGCCTTACTCTCATTTTTGGTTTTATAACAGGCTTTGTTTCCAAGTGACTCAGCTATAAATATTAAAAAAATGTCTTGTTGCAGTTGAAAAAAATTTTCCTATCACTGCTCAATTAGTCTGCAAAGTTTGAGTCAGTAAAAAAGGTAAATAAGAATTTTGTTGTAATCATGAAAATGCTTTTATGTACTAACTGTTACTGCATTATGAGCCACTTACACCCATGAGAACTCCAGAGTCCCCAGTTGAGTTCGGGTGAAAACAGAGTATCTGCTTCTAAGAGGGTTGCAACTCGAAGCATTTGGCAGGAAATATATTACATTTATTATAACTATGTGTAGGAAATAAATTACATTTATTGGCACTATATTTGTACCTGTTCAAATTTTTATTCATCTTTTATCAGAAAATAGTTGTTATGTTTTGAAGTAGAAGTATCAAATTTATTTTGTCTGTGGGCTCAGCTCTCATTTCCAGGGTTTCTATTCTCTTTCTTCCACAGATCAGTGTAAAGTTTTGTTTGTGTTTTAGCATTATTTAGCATTTATTAGTGCCTTTCTATTCCGGATAAAGACAACTCAATCACTTTGCTGAATTCCTTTTTTCTTCCATTCAACTCTTGAAAGTGATCAATAATGAACTGTTGTCCATTTTACCATCAAAGAGTCATAATTGTACTTTACAACTGATGTCACCATACAGAGACATGATAGGAATTCGCATTTCCAAATGTTTTTTGAAACAAACCTTTTGGGAAACTGCTTTTAAACCAAACAAGACTGTGTTACCTCTAAACTGGTAACATATGTTAATTTTAGCCAAGAAAGCAAATTCAAAAAAATTGTAAGCAATTGCAACAAATGCGATCGAATAACTTTATTTCTAATATTTTCTAAAAATATGTGAAGTATTCCGTGACAACACTAAAGTTGTCTTCGTAAGAAGGAATCTTTAGATCTTTGCATGATAACATAGAGCAAGGCGGTATTTCTCAAAACAACCACCCTAAAACAATGCTTATATTTTATTACTCTCTGTTGATACTGTTACAAAAACATTGTTTTTGTAACAGTTGTGGTTGTGAATTAGGTTTTTTTCTGACAAAAATTATTAGGAAATGCTACACAGATTTACCAGTAAATTCACTGTGTTTTTATAGGGTTCTGCAGGAAGACAAGGACAGCGTGGACCATTAGGACCAAAGGTACAAACACTTGAAAGATAATCTATTTGGCTTTGGCATGTATTTTTTATATTTTTTTTATTTCTATATTCCCAGAATTTGCCTGAACAAAACATCTTCTGTTTAATATTCGTATACTAATTAAGTATTAGACAAGTTTTGTTCCCATTTACACTGAGTATCTACCCAGAATGTTTATTATTAGAATTATTTCATATTCACACCAGAGCAATGAGTAAATCCTAGACAGGCCATTATGTACCATGGCATTTGTGTTTAACATTAGGCAATTTCTCTTTTTTGGTCACTTATACATCAGTCTGGTTTCCCAGAGATTACGTGTACGCTGTTGAAAGAGAAATCTGCAGGAGGAGATGTTCTGGCATGATCCTAGAAATTGATAGGAAAACATTCTGGAAGGTGTTGGGAGCAAGAAGGGAGGTGTCATGACTACTTTGCCTTGGTTTGGATTTGAGCTCAGTAGTGACCGAATTTTTCCACTTTGATGCTGCTATTGGTTATGTAATCCATGAGGAAAAAATGGAGAGATGAAAAACCAGAGAAGAAAAGGGCAGATTCTCAGAATGGGACCTTAGACAGGAAGTGGCTTTTCCTATTCCTTCATAAAGCTTGAGTACTGTTCAGGTTAAAAGTACAGCATGACAACACCTTTTCAGCACTTTAACGTGAAGTTAAAGAAATTCAAGGTCTTCATTGCCCTGGGAAATGACATTAGCATTGAGAGAGCGGGAAATGGAAGACAGTAGGTGGGGGCCCCCCTCCTGTTCCCCTAAAATTTACACCTGAACTCACACACAGCAACAATTACTGCCAGCAATAACTGCATGCAGCTGATTCCTAGGACAATAGCCATCAAAGATCTGACCAGCCCCCTATGTCTAGAGTCTATGGAGCTCAGCCTGTAAGGCTGAAAAAGCCCCTCCATCAAGTACTACTCCTGTTAATGCTGGAGCACATTACTTACGAGTGAAAAAATGAACATTTGCACAACATGTGTTGATGAGTGATGCTGCAAAGGACTGGCAAGAATAGATGTGCTCTCACATGATGCCTCTCTGTGCACATGAGAGGTGCCGAGTCTCCATGCTGAAAATAGATTTTTTGTTAAGAACTTGTTCTCTGCCCTTAGCTAGAAATTTTGTTTCTAAGAAATGCTGCTTTACAAAGACTTCAGAAATGGAGGTAGCATGATTCCTAGGATTCAGGAACTGGACCGGGACTGAGAAGATAGTCATAAACCTCAGCCAAGAGACTTCACCATCACCTACACTAATGTTTTAGTTGTTGAGTCTTGTCACTGATCCCCAAGATACAGGAGAAACAGAAAGGAACATATTGCCTGACATCTTACAAAATCAGGTATACTAGGGCAAAATTAATATAAAGTGGTTATAATACACTATCATTCTCATGGGTATGAATTCTACACCCACTTTTCATGATTATAAATTACTTCACTAGGCAACAGTGGCAAAATACAACAACCACCCACTTCCAAAAACCAAGAGCTAATGCATCACGAGGAGTTGAAGGTATCGTTCTCTTTCATGCAGCCTTCACCATTCAAATATCCCACAGTAGTACAGCTGTCAGAGAGGACCTGCTGCGATCAATTTTCTCTCTTTCCCAGCAAGTAAGCATAGATCCAAATTTTGCTTTCACTTTTATTATTATGAAAAACTGTTTCCATTAAAAAACAGTCTAGAGTCTTCATGCACTCATGAATATAAGCACTCCTAAAAAGCAGCAAGCATAAGCATAACATTTGAGGCAATGGCTGTAGCTCCTTGATGATTTATTCCTGCTTGTATTCTCTATCTCAAATGAAGTAAACAAAATTGCATATTCTCTGTCTGCGATGAAATTGAGGAACCATGTCCACTTAGAGCTAAGTGGAACAGTGGGAATCTGTCCCAAAGGTGAAATGGCGCATTACACAGTGGTGTGATGTAGTGGCTGGGTAGGTGGAGAGAGCAGTAGTGTGGGGGAAACTGAGTTAACTGTTTTGAAGGAACATGGTGAGTCCTTTGCAGAGGCATAAGGCCATGGTTGCATTGCTAGATCTGGGCAATGTTACCATGTGCTGATTTCAGACATCAAAAAGGAAGTCCAGGCGTGTGGCTTGGTAGATGCTCAGCAAAATAATGTGTGGTGACCAGAAACTGTTGAGATGTGGGTGGCAACTGGGAGATTAAACCCCCAGAACCAATTCGCAAATGTATGCTGAGCATCACTTTACCAAAAATACACTGTGTTTTTACTACCCATTTTACCACATTTAGTTTCTCTTTTTTGTAAGGAAAGTATTAACATGTATGTTTAAAATCCTTGCAGCTATTGTTCACTGTAATATCTGAGCCCTACTGTGTCTCTGTTTCAGGGAGAAAGAGGCAACACTGGTCCACCAGGTTCAAAGGTGGGAAGTTTATTTAATCCAATCTAAAACCTCATCCATTTCTTTCCTCAGTTTCCTTTCATGTCTTAATGCACTCAGAGGATAATGAACATTTCTTACTCTGTCAGCATATTGAAGTCCAGGATGGCTTCTCTGGGAAAACGAAACCCTTTCTCTGTTGAATTGTGATTATTAGGAGCCAGTTTAAGCTGGTGCTTAAGACTTCTGCTTAAAATATGGTTAAATTTGCATTTTAGAGCCTCAGGTGCAGGGTGCCATGGTGTCTTGTGAGGCCCTTTACATTTTCACCAGAACAAAAATTAAAATCAGCCAAGCTTATATATAGAAAACTAAGTTCCACATGCCTCCTACTCCTTGATATCATGGTGTGTAGCTCGCACCCCACACCAGAGCACTTCACCCATGACACAGGTCTGTGCAGGTTCATCGCTATCTTTATCCCTGCCTATTCTACTTTAAACTCCTTTCGGAGCCCACCTCAAAACTTCTGTTTGTGTCTGTGCTGCTTGTTGCTGTCCCTGGCTGACCTGAGTGCCTTTTGCAGGGATAAGCCACCAGAGAGCGCTGATGTAACTTATAGAAAATGAAAAGATAAAATAAATAAATAAAATTAAATATAAAATCTTCTCTTGCATTTGGGACAGCACTGAAATCAAGAGTTGCTCTAGGAAACAAGATAAAAGCAATTATGCTTGCTGAGTATTTACGAGAGTATTATCACAGTCTTCTAGCAGCATCTGCTTGTTTACTTTTTTAAAACAGACAACAATGTAGCATGACTGCTTGCCATAAAATCCATCTGCTGTACATATTTTGAGTGTTGTCATTTCACAGAGATATTTTTCAGCATGATAATTAAAGCTGATGCATGACACATAGGACAGTTGTTTAACTCTTCTTAATCTGTTTGAGACTACAGAATATTTTCTTACTTATTCTACATACATATGCTTTCTTCTGAGGTCCTTGTTCTAGTAATTATTATTGTCTCGTGATAAGTACATTTCAGGCATGTCTTGTAGATGGAGTGTCTATGGGACTGTTTAAAAAATAATCAATCTATCTTTTCAATCTTCAGATTTAAAAATACCTTAGTCCTCTTATATTTGAGCAATGAACTACATTCTTAAAATATGGAGGGAGTTAGAAATCAGGATGCCTCTGAATACATTATTTGCAATAAAGCATCTTACCTCTCCTGGATCTTTTCTTCCAATTTAAATTTCGTTAGGAAAATCAATGGGAGAAATTATTCAGCGTTTGTAATAGTAGGAATTTTTCAGGCAAGTACCAACATGCCTGAAATGACAATACTGTGTTGCAGAAATGCTGTTAGTCCAAAGTTATTTCTTCTGCCCAATTACCTTTGCTGCAGATAGATACTTAAAATTCCCCACAAGCACTGAGAGACTTAAGTCCCAAGTACCATTTTTACTAGACATGCAGATACCTAAATCCCAGTAGTTGTTTTGATGCCTAAACTCCATTAACATTCAGAGACACCTTTTATCTTGCACTTGTCTATAAAATGAAAAATAGTGCTTCAGAAATTATACTTTATTCCTGAGCCACACATTTTGCTGATCACAGACAAAAACCAGAAATAAGTGAGAATATCCTTTCTTAATGAAGTAGACACATTAAATCTCTTATGCTGCTATCTACTGTAAAAACCCCAAAAATATTTTCTTGAAGCAGATCAAAAGGTTAGAACCAAAATAGCCTATTCCTAAAATAACAAACAAAAAACCAACTAAACAAACAAAAAAAATGCAAAAAAATCCTCTAAGCTGAACAACAAAAAACCCCATACAAAACAAAACAAACACCAAAAAAACCCCCACCAATCTAACAAACAAAAAAAGCCCCCCTACTAAAACCAAAGAGGGCTAATTGGTCACTTGGATGAATCATTAGGCTGCTCTGTGTCATTTCCTTTGCTCTTTCATACGACACAGAGAAAAGCATGCAAAAACTATAGCTCACTGTTTATATGGTCCTTTAAGAGCCTTCTTTTATCCATTTTTTTCTGCATTATCATTTCTGGTTCTGTTTTTCCCATGGAATAGTGTGACTGTCAGATTCCTAGCAGTCATACACAGTCCTATATTTAACTACGGCGGGGGCTATCAAACCTTTTTGCCCCACATACCAACTCCTGAAATGCCTCTCCCTTCTCTTCCTCCAGCCTGAGAGTCACCTAACTGAAGGATGGAAATAAATCACCAAATGTATTTTGGGGAAAGCAACAAAATTCACTCTTTTGCTAACCAGAGGTGGGAGCAGTGAAGAATGACTGAAGCTGCATTAAAAAACACAACCCTGCTCTGGAGACGGTGAAAGAGAAGGAGGAGTGGAAAGAGCAGATGACTAATGAGATAATACTGACTCCATAGATGCTCCCCCAAACCTGCTTGTTAGTCCATTCAGAACCATACCTGTCCCTCCCCAGAGTGGCAGCATCCTGCTTGTATGAAACAATACAATTTAGAGAGAATAACAATGTATTTGTTGTGACAGGGAATGCCGGGCACAGATGGAAAACCAGGCTCTCCTGGCATTGCTGGGCATCCCGGAGGTGTGGTGAGTAGGGCTATCATAACCTGTGATCACATAAGACACACTGGCTTCCAAACCTATGTCTTAGGGATTAGCAGGAGCCATAACAGTACTTGCTAACAATGTATGGAGAGCTGGGGCAGCATTTGTCCTACTTAACCTGGAGCAATTACCTCAGACACCAAACACAGGAGCAGAGTGTCCCTTGCCCATGTCTCCCTCATCAATCAGAAGTGATAAAGGCATCTCTAGAGACTAGTTCTGATTCCTTGATGCTCCTTCTGCTTTTAATTATTCAGAAATCAGCTCTGCTTTTAATTAGAGGAAAGCTAACAGGCTCATAGGTGATTTTAATGTATTTCTCATGCCTAAGACCCTCGAGGATTACAGAGCACTTTGCCTGGGAAGTCCCACAGGTCCCCTGACGCCTTTCTCTCACTCGTGCCAGACAAACTGTCTGCATCCCCAGCACAGTGAGTTGATCAAGCTTAGAAATAACCTGCCTGAAAGATGACAGTTTAGGTCCCCTGTGTTCCTCTGTCTGGTCCACTGGGAAATCCCAGACACAACTGATGTGGTTAATGCTAGAAAAGGACAGCACAGCCAGGCATGGCTGATTTCAGTGCAATGAAAGAAAGGTTCATTGAATTAATTCCCAACTAATTAAATGTTTTTTGCCCATTTTCTTCTGGTTGTCTGTGAACTCTGTCAAAAATTCTGGGAAATACTTTTAAACATCAGATTCTCAGAAGGTCTTAGTTGAAACCAGTTGGCCCCATGTGTGGTTTGAGAGAGCTGAGGATTGATCATGATCATTCCATACCTGCAACTTGCTGTTGCACTTTTTGTGAAGCTAAAAAAAGTATATTTCACAATTTTTATTTTTAAATCACTTATGATAATTATTTTTTTTTTACTGCACACAGGGTCCAAAAGGGGAGAAGGGTGACCCAGGACCTCAGGTGAGATTGTGTGGATTTCATTCTTTCCAAAAAACCTATGTGAAATGTAGTACTTGGTATATAGGTTTTCCACATGTAATGCTTTTGAAACAGGGTGAACCAGGAGAGAATGGGAACAGTATTGTGGGACCACCTGGACCACCAGGACCACCAGGACCAGTCATAGCAATACCTGAGGTAAGCATGTTTGTCAGGCACTGAAGTATGTAACTCATCTTACAGAGAAGAGGGCTCAGCCGGTTAACAAACTGGCAGTTATGCTGTTGATATTCAGGTCATAAGTTTACTCCTTAAAACGAAAGAATCTCAATATGTCTCTGTATCAAATGGATTTGTTTTGAAAAGATTAAATAGAAAGAAAGTGGGCAAAGACCTTACATACCCCTCACAAACTCTTCAGGTGATTCTGCAGGAGTTGTGAACATCAAATAAAAATCAACATAGAAATACAAAACTGGGAATGTTTAACTAAGCAAAGTGCTCAAGACACAGCAGTATGTAGGGGAGAGAAGTGTTTTCAGACAGTTGTCCACTATACAAACGAGAGCACTGACTCCGTTGTGGAAGCAAGAGCCAAAAGCACCAGAGGATAAAATACTGGCAGCTCATAAAAACTCTCCAGTATCCTTTAGATGCACGTACATTTTCATTTAGTTTTGCTTTGTGGATATCAGCCTTTGCAAAGCAATACAGCAAAGCAGTAATGAAGGCTAGAGATTAGGATGAACCCCATTTCAAGCAGACAACAAAAATCCTTGTAGTTGGCTTGATGTGACATTAAGATCTGGAGAAACTGTGAGTGATTGCAGGAAACTTCACCTCTGAGAGGTGGAGGTGCCTGAAACAACCAGACTTGTCCATAGGAATGCATAGAAGGGCAGTAAGAAGCAATTTCTGATTGTGAGAAGGGAAAGTGTCCAGCTGAGATATCTGTATTAGGGGGAGCTTGACTCCAACATTATCATAAAGCTGAACTGCACATAACCTTTTTTTGACTGAAATAACTAGGCTTTCACTCAGGTTTCTGCTACTGAGAACAAATATAGCATCCCATAGGCCACATCACCAGTCCCAAAAAAATTGTTTTCTTTATTAAATTTACTGGGATTCCATGCAGAATCTCAGGATCTTGGATCCTGAGTTGTAGATGAGCAGAATTCAGGATACATTTCCGTGTGGACTCACGGAAATGTTAGCTGTGTGAAGATCATCTAGTTTGAAGTCCTGCTCAAAATGGGACTGTTACCAGCTCTACACTTTATCCAAGCTTTATCCAAACATTTCTGTTGGAGTTTCTAGGGAATTCCTCAATAGCTGTGATAGAAATGCTCATGCAAACTTCATGTTCTTTCTCACAGCCCTGCCACGGTGCCACTGTGGGGCCTTAATTCTTATCAGTGATTAAACAGCTCTGTTTGCAGTGTGTTGCTCCTTAGTTCATTTATACTTGAAAAAAACACTGTGAGAGCCTCAGAGGGAGGAGAAAATGTATATGAAATGTAAAAAATATTGCTGAAGCTGACATAGCAAACTAATGACACTAGTTTGCTGGAGGCTGCATGGCTCCCTAACACATGATAGTCACAGTCCACACATCTGTCTAGTGTATAGCTATGTCTGAAGAAACCTAGCGTTCATCCTGAAGAAACCTAGTGTGCATCCTGTAAATTCTCCAGAACTACTGTATGAACTACCTTTACCACACATTACAGAAATGTATAGAGCCTGATAGAAGTTGTATTGCATTAGGTGTATTACAAATCCATATAGAAACCCATTTCCTTCCCTAAATGCTTTGGATTTTTAGAAGTAAGCCCTCTTAAAAAATAGGGAGCATAATATAGGTGGCTTCATATACCTGTAGCAAACAGGTGTTTGGGGAGTTACAGCAAGAGCCTAATATACTTCAAATCCTTTGTATTGTTAATCATATGATTTCTCTGAGGACTTGCTGAACTGGATTTTGATACAGTTAATTAAACAAGTGTGGAAGTATATGTCACTATGTATGACATTGAATTCTACCTACCTCACAAATGTTTGTGTAAGAGCAGGACATTTTATACATTTGCTGAGATAGAAGGTTAAATTTTCCAAGTGCGTTTTGTTGGCTCAGTCTCTCATCTTTCATAGTTTGCTTCAGATACAGAAAGAACTTTTGCAAGTAGACCTGTCAATGGCAGTTGGAATTGCAGAACTAAAATAAATACCAGTGCCAGCTGTTGTAATGTGGATATTGGCTTGATGTGGGGTAGAGCAGCAGAGATCAATTCAGCGATTTAAGTGAACCATGGGGCAGTTAGAGAGATCACTCCCCAGGTCAGGGTCATTTAGTCCATTCATTTAACCATTGTATAGCCAAGGACAAATAGTTCTCAAGCTACAGAATTCCAGTGGACTGCTCTGTCAGAGTTGGAAGGATGTTTTCTTAGAAAGGGCTGTGTGGCTACAACTAAACAGATTCTATGCTTCTTGACCAAAATAAAAGTAGTAAAGCACTTTCAGTATTGTTGAAATATTAAGACCTGATGTGGACAGCTGTGGCTCAGGGCCAGGCCTCCCCAGCATCTGGCCAATAGTGCATTGACTGAACTGCACTGAAAAGTGGACCTTGTTTTCCTCCTCATTTAACTTGATCCCTATGTGAACTGAGGGGATTTGGCCTTCAGGAACCACTTCTAACACAGTAAAAATACATGGTAAGATAGAACTGAGGTCTGTAGTGTAACCTATCCATTTCCAGGCTTCTGCAGTACCCACCAGCACTGTGGGTCTCAGGGGGCTTCCCATCCTTGCTGCCTTCTCTGTTGCCTCCTGTGACTGGTCAGGAAGTCTGCTCTGACTTGTCCTGTTTAAAAAGTGTCCCTCTGTTTGATGCTCTTCAATATTCCAAAACACTAAAATCGGTATTTCTCATCCTTTATTGGCTATTTCACTCTTTTAGAACATAGTCTCTGATACTCAGTGCATTTTCATGAATGGATAACCAGAAAACCATATTAATTGTTGCTATGATTTTATCACACAAATGTAGTTGGGTGTAGTACAGAAGTAATTTCAAACAGAGAAATGTTATTGGATTTAAATTTCAAACTTTTAAACAATTATATTTGGCTGCCATTATTCATCCATAGGAACAAAAGTCCTGGAAAAAGTCCTGAATAAAGGTTAATGTTAAGTGTGTAAAGTAAAAGTCAAAATATTTTGTTCCCTGTGTTCTTTCTGTAATTCTAATTAGACCATATTCATGCCATTTGGATACAAAGCTGAAGGTTTACTTAGAACCCAAGCCAGACGATCATCCTAAAACATAACAGTGATGAAAATATTAAAACAAGGTCGTCCTTACTTTGTAGTCTTCACTTTCTGAACTAATTTGATATGTTGAAGAGTTATATTGCTGGATTGTTGATATTAAAGCTATTTTCACACCCAAACCCAAAGATAAATAACCATACACCTGGAGGAGGTGGTAAAGAGTACAATCTTTTTCTCTAATCATCCCTCTTGAGCCCTGTGTTTTCAAATCTTCTTCAGCATTATGTACAGTTTCTGACTTCCAACCACAATTTCCATTTGCAGATCAACTCTGTTTATAAAATATACAATGTGCCTGATCCCAAGCTCAGCAAAGTCTTTGGGATTCTTTCCACTGACTTCAGTATAGTTTGGATTGAGCCCAAAAACAATGAATACTGAGTAATTCCACAATGAAAAGACAGCGTAAACCCAGGGCTCCTGGATTTCTGCCACCAGTTGTAGATAAAGCAGAATGATTGCAGCAGCAGGACTCTTTTATTAATGTCATTAATGTCGCAGCCCATGTCCTGTTCCCTTTCTGGGCAATATACAACTGGAAATAGAGTGGGACCAACAGCACCACACTACCCCTGAAGCAGTGTAGCAGAGCTCATGCAGGCTGGGAGATGGATTGCTGCCTGCAGGATTTAAACTGCCTTTTTATTTGACGATTTTCCAGTGGTCTTTGTAGAACATGAGGACAGGGAGTGGGAAGCAGCACCCACTAAAATTAACAAGCTTTAGCTGCATGAATCGTGCCAATATGACCTTAAAGCACAGAAAGTTGACCATACACTGCCATGCTCAGATAAGATAGGATAGGATAACATAGAATAGGATAGGATAGCATAGCATAGCATAGCATAAGATGTGTGATGTGGCCAAGCAGGTCTGTCCTCTTTTGTGTCCTACTTCACACACCAGATTAGAAAAATAGTATTCAGACTCATAAGAATATTGGAAGTGATCTCTGGTCAAACCTCTTATTCAAAGCAGGGTAGCTTTAAACTCAGTTCCTGGATACTGTATTCAAAACAAATGTTGGAAAAGATTGTGGTCCGATAGCATTGATCTGCACATGGTAACAGGCAGAAAAAGAGGCATTCAGATTTCACAATACCTCAGTGACAATATGTTTATTCATGTGCTAAGTAAATCCCTGGCACCTGAAGGCATGCCCTGCCTTGGCCTTGTGAAATTCGGATTTTCACTGCATGGAATGGGAATATAGCACTTCAAACAGAGCCTTATATAGAATTGGATGGCATGGCTTGCCTGTTAAGCAAATGCACAAGTTGAAGCTTCCAAGAAGATTCAGCATGTACTTCTGAATCCAAAACAAGGCTAAAGTGTCCAATGGGACTGTTGGAGTGAAAGAAATTAAACAAAGGACAAAGACACTAAGGACATCTTTTCACCTAGAACATTTATGTGGCATCAGCACTTACATATTGTCAGTCTTGAATTGTACTGTAAGACCATATGATATAACATTTGGAACACCTATTTAAACCAGAACAGTAGCTATCTGAAACCAAAATGAAAGCCTAATCATAATATCAGGACAAGAATCTGATAGGGAGCAGCCAACATGGATTTACTAATGGCAGTTCATTCCTGATTAAAATCCTTGCTTCTCTGTGGACAAGGGATGGGCACTGGAATTTTCCTGGAATTTGTAGACCCACATTCTCCCACAGTCTTGCTATTACCAAACAGATGGCATATGAAGTCAATAAGAGGATGACAAAATACGTGGAAAATTGTCTAATTGATGGACTCAGAGAGTTGTGATTAGCATTCATAAGACTGCTTCTGAGTACTGTGTCCAGCTGCGAGATCCCCAGCACAAGAAAGATATTGACATAATGGAGCAAGCCCATGCAGGGCTGCCAAGATGTTCAGGGGACCGGAGTGCAGACAGGACTGGGTCTGCTCAGCCTGGCGAACAGCAGGCTAAGGAGAGGCTTTGCTGCTGTCTACAATTACCTAATCAGAAGATACAGAGAAGATGGAAGCAGCCTATTCTCTGTAACATTATAAGATGTAACAGACCCAAGTTGGAACAAGGGAAATTCCAAGTGAAAACTTTTTTACCCTGCTGATGATCAAATACCAGAACTGATTGCCCAGGAGAATTGTGGCATCTCCATCCTTAGAGGTGTTCAAGATTTAACTAGACAAGGCCTTGAGTGACCTGATCCATTCAGACCTGCATTGAAGAGTGTTGGACCAGAGCTCCAAAAGTCCCTGTCTACCTTCATTATCATGATACTGTGATGGAATTATGCAGAAATCCTGGGCTGATGCTGAGCTCACTAATTCCAGGATAGGAATAATAGCATTGCTATTATACTGCTCTGTTCAGGGATCTTGAAACTCAGAGCGGATTAGCATAGGTGCTGCTCCACATCCAAGTGACTATACTGTTTGGGGGATCCAAGCTAGTTTCAGACGCAGCAGTGTGATCAGAGCTTACTTAGGAATCACTACATGGCACTGCATGGTGTGATGCAGACATGCCAGAATATAATTATAGCTTCAATTCTACAACAGAATGAGTTTGGTCAGGCTGATTCATTCTTAGAATACCAGTGACATATTGGAATATAAAATCTTCACTTCGATCTCTGTCTTGCTGAGGAGAACTGACTTCAGGCTGCAATATTTGGTGTCATAGCTTTCAAATTAAAAATGAGAGTTAATTAAATTTTCAAAAACATTCTGAGATCCTTACTGAAGAAATGTAAAACAAATTCTATGTTTTGTTATTCCCAATGTATAACAAAATTAGAAGTAGAGAGCCCTCACTGTAGCCTTATTTATGGGTTTTTTTCCATAGTTATAAAAAGATAATTTTCTGTACATTTCTAAAAATGTATGTGCCTTAGATAATCAATTTGAAATAACCTGGTTTTTAATCCCTTTTTTTTAGTTACTACTCAATGACACAAATGGAATGTTTAATTTTACTGTAATTAAAGGACTACTTGGGCCTCCAGTGAGTATACAATGCTTTGTTAAATTTTCAGATTTGCTCTATCTTCAATGTCTCCTTTTAAGTATCAACTAGAGATGAGTTTCCTGTGCTTTAAGATTGTGTTCCTGCTAACCTCAGCACTAAATTCTGTAGAAGTAGTTTAGGGCAGAACTGAATTCTGTGTGAAAAAATTACTTTTACACATTTGTGTGAAATAAAGAAATTGACTTATCTCTGATTCTGAGCTATATGCTCAGTATTACAGAAATGTATAACTGTTCAAAAAACAGGGACCAAGATTTCCATAGCATTTGTCCCATTTTTTCACTTCTTGTTTTTCAAGTCACAAAATGTTGGGATGGAAGTATTTTGCTCATTTCTGCTTGAGACTGCAACTAGCAATGCTAGGCTCCTGTGTATGACTTTAGTCTCACAGCAATTAGAGCTGGGATGAAAAACTGGGAATTTTGTGAGATAAAAGAGATGTGATGTTCAGGTTCTGTTTTGCAGCTAGCTCCAAAATAGTTCAGTCAAATATTTGAAATTCTGAATGCTTTTTGGTAATGATTTCAAGTTCCTAGGACTGGATCCAAACAAAAATCTACCTTTTCCAAGCTGTGGAGTCTGTTCAAACTTGCCCAAAAGTGTTGCACTTTGCAAAATCTTAACCTCCACAAATTAAGGAACTTCCTTCACAGCTAGTTTCATTTGTGGACATTGTGTATTTTATTTTATCTTTTTTTCTTGCTTGTGAGCACAGTTGTCTCCGTCATATTCAATCCCTGATGAAATAAGGAAAGCCAGAATGTGCATAGCTAATAGCAGAATTTTACTCAACATAGCCAAAGTCTGAAAAAACATATATCTTATTAATACATCTGTCCCCAAACAAATATTTACTAAGTCTGTCACTGAATGGGAAAGAAGGGCATTAGCTCCAACAACAGCATGTAACCTTCATCTGCTAGTCTACCATGGCTCTTTCCCGCTTGTTACACGATAGAACAACTTCATGTTATTGTGGCTGCATCCAGCTGCGCTTATGGTAAAACTGTTTTCATGGAAGATGTGTTTCCTAACTGATTCTCCTAATCCCTGGACATAATAGGATGGCAGGATAGTATGGGCCCTCTTTTGCGAGCTCTGTTACTACAGGTAATTGCCATTCAACTACAGCAGAAATGCGTGGATTTGTAATAGCTGTTAGAGTCACATCCCTAAAGAGTGTGATAAAAAGAAGCAGGTCCTGTAGCTTGAAGCACAGTTGCAATGGGAAAGGTTTGAACCTCAGCCTCTGAGCTCACCCCAGTCAGGAAAGAGGTGCAGGCTCATAGTGGGTAGCATAATAGAAATCCTGCTATTCTAGATCTAGATCTGAACTGGAACTGAAGTGTCTCTCTGCAGTTATCACAGCAGGACAATATGCCCACTACAGATCCCAATCCATGTTTCTATTCACAGCCTATTACACACTTTATTTTTTATCCATAGGCGTCCAGGAGAAAAATGGCAAGTGTGGGCAGGCTATTGTGGTCTGTGCTGGCATCTGGAAAAGATTCAAAGAAGGCTGAATTATGGTTGCATGCCTTTCATATCTGGAAACTGTCACCTTTTTTTCAGCCTTTTCTGAATCGCTGTTTCTTCAGTTTTTGAACATAAATGCTAAGTTAGAGGCATAGAGCATAGCAGAGCATTCACAACTTTACCATTGACTGAAGGGAGCTGTTAATTCAGTTGCAGATGAGTTGATATTCACAAATCACACAATATATGAAAAACACATATTCTGTTTTGCAAGTCTGTAATATGTGTTTGTAAAGGTGTGGGGGTTTTGATTTTGCAGGGGCCAGATGGAAAGCCGGGTCTACCAGGATTTCCTGTAAGTATTAATTTCCTTGGATTTAAGTTTTTTTCAATTTAGTTTAATATTTTTAAAAATTTGTATTGTACACAATTTGCACAAAGTCTAGTAAATTTTCATATGGGAGATGGCAGGTCTTTGTGGAGTTGCCAGCTATGGTAGAAATTTACTCTGTTGGAAATGAAGTATACTCTGATATGCTTATCTCAGTGTCAGTTCTGTAGTTTAAATTGAGATGTAATTGAAGAAAAATCACTACCTAAGGAAAGACCCATGCAATAAAGGAGAAACAAATGGAGCAAATGGACTTCTAAAAGTTATCTTTGTATGTATATGTAATTGTGTTATTATTTAGGCTTTTTTTTGTTACCACTACAGAATACAGTAAAGCCCTATGAGACATACACGTTTTATTTTATATTTTAGGAAACATTTATGATGTTTTTACAATAATGTGCCAGGGCTACCATGTAAGAATTGCGCAACCATAGTATCAAAAGATGCCTTACTCTATGCTACCTCCCTGTTGTGTTCAGACTGCCACACCACGCAAACATATCAAAACATCTTCATAAACAACTTGGATGCAGGACTTGAAGGGATGCTGACTAAGTTTGCAGATGATAAACAATTGGGGGGAGCAGTTGACTCCCTCAAAGACATGGAGGCCCTGCAGAAAGACCTCAACAAATTAGAGGACTGGGCAATCACCAGTCACTTGAAGTTCAACAAGGGAAAGTGCCCAGTTGTGTACTTGGGATGGGGCAACGCTGGATATACATACAGACTGGGGAATGAGATGCTAGAAAACAGTGCTGCGGAAAGAGTCCTGGGGATCCTGGTTGATGGCAAGTTGAATATGAGTCAGCAGTGCCCTGGCAGCCAGGAGGGACAACCGTGTCCTGGGGAGCATCAGGCAAAGCATCACCACCCAGCTGAGGGAGGGGATTGTCCCACTCTGCTCTGCACTGGTGCGGCCTCACCTTGAATATTGTGGCAATTTTGGGTGCCACCATATGAGAAAGATATTAAGCTATTGGAGAGTGTCCAAAGGAGGGCAATGAAGATGGTGAAGGGTCTAGAGGGGAAGCCATACAAGGAATAACTAAGGTCACTTGGTCTGTTCAGCCTAGAGAAGAGGAGATAGGGGAGACCTCATTGCAATCTACAACTTCCACATGACAGGAAGAGGAGTGGCAGGCACTGATCTCTACTCTCTGGTGACCAGTGACAGGACTTGGGGAATGGCATGAAGCTGTGTCAGGGGAGGTTTAGGTTGGATATTACAAAAAAGGTTTTCACCCAGAGGATGGTTGGGTGCTGGAACAGAATCCACAAGGAAGTGGTCATAGCACCAAGCCTGACAGATTTCAAGAACATTTGGACAATGCTCTCAGGAACATGGTATCATTCTTGGGGTGTCCTTTGCATGGCCAGGAACTGGACTTTAATGATCGTTGTAGGTCCCATCCAACTCAGTATATTCTATGATTCTGTGATTATCTAGCTTATAACTTCAGATACTATTGATCATACTATTGTATTCGTATTCTATGTAACATGATGGAATTATTTTCCCTTGTTATGATTTTTTTACAGTTCAGAGCATGCATAGGATCTAAGGATTCTTTGTCTTTTGCCTGAGAATAACTAAGTAGAAAACTGGGAAAGCTGACAAAAGATGTCAACAAAATGCTGGCAAATTGTCCAAAATTCTACACAAGGTTGTTTATTGAGTCCTGGGTATTGTGGTCTGCATAGGAAACCAAAGAAAGAAGGAAAAAACTCCTTAAAAATACTTTTCATTTGAAAAAGAGCTCATACCATTTAGAAAGTGGTATAACGAATTCGTGGTTTCTCTGTCATTTATGGAATCATGTAGAAATTGTGTAGACTTGAGTTTAGTTCTTGGTAGGTAAAAAAAAATTGCTTCTGAATGCACTTACAATGGCAGATTTTAAAGCACAATTTAATCTGAGTGGAATGCTTTCACCATGAACAGGTAAAGAAATTATCTTGTTTTCAAATAGATAACCTCTGTTTCAGATAATTTTTTTTTTTAACATACTGTTAAAAATATAGTTTCAGAAATTCTGTTGAAAATCAGTCTGGCTGAAAGATCATGGAGGGAGAGAATAGAGTATGGAGGAAATAGAGAATTTTACATTGAATTTCCACTGTTATTAATGATTGCATATTTCCCTTTGTGAATGTGTGTATCATCCACACTGTGACAAACATCAGAGATTTTTCATTTTGTTCTTTCTAACAGATTCTCCCTATGTGATACTTGGTTTAGGGAATAATATGATTCAAAGAGCAATATAGTTCTATAAGAATTCTTAGATTGCAGCCAGAGTGATTTAAGTTCCAGTTTGCCAATTATTGAAAATTACATGGCCTAGCTCCATATCCACAGCAGATATCACTATGGATTTATGTGTTTGTTTTTGCATAGGGCCCTCGGGGACCAAAGGGTGATACTGGTTTGCCTGGATCTCAAGGACCCAAAGGACAACAGGTATAAGAACATGCACAGGGAAAAGTATGTGCCAGGAAATGTTTTAGATGGCACATACTTAGTGACATTAAAAGCTAATTGATTCTAACTTTAGTAGGGATTGTGACGTTAATAAATTCATGTGAAAAATTTACTAGGTGGAAATTGAAAGTGCTAAACAACATCCCTTGATATAATTCCACCAGGAGCTAATGTTCCTGCCCCCACATTGAAATTCTGGAGTGCAGTGTGCACTTATCAATTAAGTCTGCACAAACTTAAACATGAAGTGACCTCTTCTTGCCAGCTGATTGCTGTGTTAACACTCTGGGATCCTATTCAAAAGGCCAAATAAAAAAAGATTGATCTTTTCCTCCTCCTTTGCCTACAGAATGAAGGCTGCAGTTTTCAATTCCCAAAGAACGTCTAAGACTTGGGGAACTCTCTTTTTAGGATCCCTTCTCTTATTTCTTCATAAAAAGTGTGTATTTTATAGCATTCCTGGGATGTTACTAAAGGCCGACTCTTCTAGTTTGTAAATATTGCAGCTGTTCTGGTTTTCTTCCCCTTCTCATCCATCTGCAGGAAGCAGGGTAGAGATACATCTAATATCTTGGGGATAAAAAAATAAAAACAAAACCACTTTCAGGTTATTCTTTCAAAGTAGCTGACCACACTTTCTCACAAGGAAGACTTAGAAATGGTTAATTGTGGTTAGAAATGGGATTGTAGATGAAAAGCATCTTCATTATTCAGAAGGAAACATCTCAGGCCACAAATACCAGTCCATTTTTGTCATAAGGTTTCCTGTTCTTTTACAGAGTGCATAAAATGATCAAGCTTAACCTTGAAACTGGTTGTATGGGTTTTGGTTTGGTTTGTGGGGATTTTTACTTTCGTTTTTTTAGTTGGCTCTTTTTTTGGCTTCTACTGTCCACACTGGTAAGAACTCAAAACTTTGAAGCCATTATATTTTGTATCCACCAAAGACATAATGATGTATCTGAGGCTGTTTTTGAGGCATGAACACCAGATTATGCTCAAGACTGATGAAGGTGGAAACCACAATGAAGCTGTAGAGACACTAGGAGCATTTTACTTTAAAGATCATGAAATTCAATTATGAGGTCAATAAAATCTCATTGAAGATAAAGTCAGTGAAGCCAACCAAGCCTTAGGAAGACTCCAAGATATCCAAAGTATCTTCAAAGAGACTTCAAAGACAACAAAGATTTAAGAACCTGTGAGAGGAACTGAGTTATAGCACTTACAGCTCAATGAAAGCGCTATAACCTGGACTGTCATTTTAATCACCAACGCAAGTGTTAGTTTCAAGCCAGATTTCTTCCATGAGATCTTGGGAAAGGTGTTGTACCAAGACGCCCGAGTTAGGAAGAGGAAAGTTACAGCTGAAGATCCAGAGTGGGAACTATATGCTAGCACCAAGAAGTGATAATTCTTGGTTGTGGAAGTGGAATGCAGAGGGTCACAATTTGAATGCTGGGAATTGGTCTTCATTAAAGTCAATGAAACTGCATCTTGCCAGGCATATAAAGAGAATGATTCATGCTTTTGTGATAGTAAAATCGGGACATTTACTGTTCTATCAAGATTTTACATTTCCAGCAGGATTTGCTGACCATTGTCTAAGCTGATGGTAGACAAGAAGACACCAGTAGCCTGTTTTGCCTTTTGCAGAGATCTTTTGTGAACACACCATGTTTCACATAGTTACTCTATGGAGAGTAATTTAAAGTCTTTTTAAAAAAATATGTACTTATTCATCTCAGGGTGATATTTTTAGTGTACTTTATTATGTTTTAAGAAAGATCATCCCTTTTCTCCCCCAGAATCCACCTTTACCCTACGCACACTGATATAACTTTGTTTTTTATATTACAGCATGACTAATCTGTCATGCTTCAGACAGCAGTGATGCTGTTTTGACTTCTTCTGATTCACTGAGAACTGCTTTGTAAACAGTAATTACTTTGATAATTGCAGGGTGAAAAGGGAGAACCGGGAGCTATCGTTGCTGCTGATGGATCTTTAACTGAATTAATAGGAAGAAAAGGAGAGAAGGTGAGCTAATACTGTGAGATGTTCCTCCAGAATGTTTGGTGGCCTTGTTACCACCTACCTCTGCTAGACATTGTAGGAATTCTCCTTGTCATTTTTCTCTGTGTGTCTGTTCTCAACAGGGTGAAGCTGGAGTGGTGGGACCTGCAGGACCAATGGTAAGACGACTCCAAAGATGAGTGGCGCTTGTTTTTTTAATTTTGATTTGGTTTTACAGATATTAGTGAATGTAAAGGTAGTTTGGTTTTGCTTTTCATTCCTTCTGAGAAGGGATGATATGGAGTATTCCTGCTTCAGGGTGATCAGTGTTGTGATAAACAAAGTCTTGTTTCTATAAGTTTTTGAATAGGAGTTTATTATATGGTAAAAGCAAGCAGCCAGCTGGGTGACAGAAATGGGGACAAATTTCCCAAATCTGCACACACACTACAGTGTACATTTGGCATTTATCTTAGCTACTTCATGCATATTAATTATATCATATACATATAGACTTTACAGTTTTTTTGCTAAGCATTTAATATATGGGTTTTCTTACAGCTAAAGCTAAATGGTTATCTCTACAACTGGTCCTAATTCATGTGTTCTTGGACGAACAGGCACCTAAAAGATTTAAAGTTCTACCATATTTTATTCTTAGGATAGTGGGGAGGTTTTAGGGCCCTTTGATCCTGTAAGGGTCTGTTTTATTTCTTTATGGGGGTGTAATTAAGTTTTACAATCCGTTTATTTTATTTTGATGTAATCACCCATTTGTTTCACGAATCACAATTATTTATTTATCACAAATGTCCTTCAGAAAAGACTGTGGTCATTACATATGTGGTTCTGCAAACTACTGACTTGATGCAGAGTTTAAATTCTGGTAGCACGAATGTATCTGTTACTGTCTAAACAGACAGTGAAATATCATCAGAGCTAGAACCTTCAGAACTTATGACTGAGTGAACTGGGTTTGTTTAGCCCTGAAATAAAAGACTGAGAGGAGCTCTAATTGCTCCCTGCTGCAGCATGAAAGGAAATTATAGAACAAAGTCAGGTCCTTCTCAGAGGTGGACAGGAAAAAGACAAGTAGCAAAAATCACAAGTTCCAGCAAAGAAAATTTCAATTAAAGAAAAAAATGCACGGTAAAAGTGGTTAAACACAGAAATAGGTGCCCAGAGAGAAAGTGGATTGTGGAGCAAGGTGCTGAGCGGCACGACTTAAAAGTTTGTCTTACTTTGAGCAAAAGGTTGTACTAGAGGATCTCTAAAGGTCCTTTTCTATCTAAATTATTCTGTTTCTATGATTTACATTAAAACAACTCACTGTGTCAGCTCAATTTCTATTGGTGTCAATAATTTGCAAGTGCCTTGGATTCTGAGAAAGCTGCATTTCAGGCAGTAGAGTCAGACCATATACCAAAATCAGGATTTAGAGGCCTTCTTTCACGTATTTGGTCTGATACTTTTTGACTGGACACAGAATGCTGTGTGAAAGCACAAGAAATTAGTCATAAAATAAGAACAATTGCCAAGATTCAGGGCACCAATTTCTTTTAGTCTGGTATTCCAAAGATCAAGGATATCCAGTGTTTCTTTGCTTCTGCTTTTGATGTAGCCTGGTTGCTGTTGTGCCTAAGTAAATGTCAGTAGGTGTTGACACTTCTGCACACCATGGTGTGTAGGAGATTTTGACATCAGTTTCTGTAGTCTTTAAAAGGGGCTAACTAGATGTGCTAAGTAACAGCTTTCTTAATTACTGTGTATCAGAATACCTAAGGGGGTGTCGTGGTTTGAGAGCCCCAAAGTCCAATTCTCGAGTCCAAGCCCCCCTCCCACAACTCAGAGCAGTGTGAGATGGGTTTTCCAGACACAAACACGAGACTCAATATGGGGGGAAAGGGAATTATATTACAAACACTGTACAAATAAATATTGTAATATATCATATACAATCTTAACTATCTCTCCTATAATAAATCAGTATTTACAATGGATCAATCTCTTCCCCCTCCAAATAAAAGTCCAGAAGGGAAAAGGAAAGATCCTTTCCACTTTCAGAGCAGCAGTTTCTCTAGGGCAGCAGTCTCTCTTCCTCCATGCAGCAGCTGTAGCTGGATCTTTTATCATTACACACGAGGGGGGTCTCCAAGCCCCTCTCGGCCCTTTGACTCCAAGTGAGGGTCTTTCTCTTCCATGGGCTGTGTTCACCAGGACAAAGGTCACTTTACCACGTCATATCAACGAAGTGCAGAAGCCTTCGTGACGGTCTCTATCCCCAGGGGATTCAAACTCCCTTGCAGAGCTCCTGTGCTCTGATCTCAGGCTGCTAGCTTAGCAGCAACAGCGGGAGGGCGAGGCCCTCCTCCACATTCCATTCTGGCCATCTCGGTCCAGCTCCAGGACGCCTGAGCTTCTTAGCTCTTCTCTGTCCCTCTGGTGCATGTTGCAAAGACTCCTCTCAAGTGGGAGTCCACCACCCCTCCTCTCTAGGAGGGGTCTCCAAGGAGATTCGGGGGGTTGGTTTCAGTTCTTACCTAAACTCTCTCTCTCTGTAGAGCTTAGTCCTACTCTGTCTCCATCAGACATTTCTCTGTGTCTCTCTTCCTTGGCTGCAATGCCAGCTTTGCTGCTTCTTCAGTTCTTCTCTCTTCTGGCTCTCTGCCACAGCTCTCCAGTCAGTGCTGTTTCTGCCGCTGCTCTGTCTGCCCACTCACGGTGGAGAAAACTCCTTCAGCTTTCTAGCTACAGATACTTAGCCCAGTCTAACACTGTTCCAAGTCCCTGTAGCCCCCCAGCCTGGGGCTGGGGGGGCCACAGCCCCCAACAGGGCTCCTGCTCCTTCTCCTCGTGGCTTTAGAACATGGCCACCTCTCCAACTACAACTACAACCTCCTTTTCCAGTCTTCTTGTTGATATGTTTATATTTTGCAGGAACGCTCATTGGCTCAACCCCAAGGGTCACCACCCCCTGGGGGTTACCATTTTTTTAACTTCAGGGGGCTATCCTGATTTATGAGAAAAGGAGTTGCTTTTCTCCTCCTTGTATGACTGCAAAATGAGTCGATCCTTTCACCTTGACACAGAATAATTTTTAGTGGAATTGAGCTTCAGAGATGATCTAGTCCACATCACTGCCTAAAGGAGTCTGTTTAACTCTGGAACTGACCAAGTGGAGTTTTCAACAATTCTTAGGATAGAAATCTCACAATCTCTCTGGGCAGCACATTCCAGTATTTGACAACCTTCAGGGTAAAAGAAGTTTTTCCTTAGATTTATTTGGAATTTCTCATGTTCTGGCTGGTGTTCATTGCCTCTCATTCTATTGCTGTGCATCCTATAGACATGTCCTTTTCCTGTGAGCCCCAAACTCTGTGTTTACATCTCCTTTTATACTGCCACGAGATGTTTCATACAGTTCAGCAAGCAGACAAGGCCGTTCAGAGGAAGTTCTTGCCAGCACTGATGCAAAGGATTACACTGCAGGAAAATTTTGCACACAGCACCTGTCTCAAGGCTTTGCTTAGCCAATTACTCTTCTTAGTGCAGAACTCCAACTTGATTATCACTGGTAACAGGGTGATAAATTTTGGTGTTGGCCCATAGAAAAAAATCCCTTTGTTCTTCATGTGAGTCCTGTGCAGAAAAAATATACAGACTTCAGAGTGCTGGGCCAGAGACTCCGAGACATAACTTATCAAAGGTTTTAGTACAATGGTTCTGTTCCACTTTGCACAACGCAAGACTCTTTTCAAGGCCCAAGAACAGCTTTGAGGTATCTGGGGACTCTTGCTTGTTCCTCTCTGCTGTTAGACCAAAATGAACTCATAGACAAGTTTCCAGAATTTAAAAACAACTCCCTACTCATTGCTCCCCTCCTTTTCGAGACTTCAGCTGGACAGAGGAGAGGATGACAGAAGCCGGCAGCACAGAATGCTATGGAGAAGTAGTAGTTTGGTAGATGAGAACGAGGGATAGTCAGGAGGTCAGTACCATCGTTAACAAAAGCAGAAGAGACAGACTGAATCCAACCTCCTGCGACAGGAGAAATTAAAATCTTTTACCTGCTGGATTATGCTGTTCCCTGTCAGTGAAGCAGATGATTGCACATTATTGAAGAAGAACCCTTAGTAAGAACCTCAGTCTGCCCAAATCGACTCTCTGTTGGGAATGAAATTTCCTTTTCTGGTAAGCATTCTCCTGTGACTTCCTCACTTCCTTCTTTCACTTCTAGCTGTGACAGCTGGCCACTGTCTCAGGGAGTCACTAACGTCTGCCAGGACTGGGCTGGCACTTTGACAGAAAAACTAGTAAAAGTGGCCTCAACATAGCCAACTTTCACATTGTTAGTGTTTATTTGAAGTCTCAGTTAAAGCACGAGATCAGACACTTCTCTTTATTTGAACTAAAAAGAAGTCTGTTTCTAATCTTCACTGCTGACTGAAGTTCAGATTTGCATATTCTTTAAGGGTTCAAGTACCAGAGAGTGAAATAGAAAAATGCCTTATAACATTTTGGATTTTTTTTTCCAAACCTTATTATTGGAAGTGGTAGCATGGAAAGGTGAGTTGAATCATTTCAAAAGCTTGGGGGCACAATATTGAAGTTCACATCTGCCAGAGTCCACCAGCAATCTCTTGCCTGATTTAGACAGAGGCATTAGCCCTGATCATATGGGCAGAAATTACCTTCAAACAGGAAATAAAATAGAAGATTAATAAAGGTTGTACCATCTTCAAACAATTTCAGCTGACATTAGTGAGCTTTAAATTCTGATTACAATGGGGATGTTATGAATCAATGTGTTCATATGTTAACCATTTATGAATTTCAAGTCTAATCCAGTACTCAATTTTGGCAGAATAAAAATTGCAACAATTAATCCATGAATTTCAGTTTTATGCTAAGACAAATTGTCTCATCATAATCAGATAAATTTTTCTGAATGTATAGATCACTTTTCAATGAAATGATATTACATGAAGGATTAAACACATCAATTGTCACCTATAAGTAGTATCTATGTGAGATCTATAAATAGATTATTTAACAAATAATGCAAGAAGGAGTATCTCTTAGCATTTCACCAGACCAAAAAAAAGGAAATGAAACCATAAATGCTGAAACATATATAAAGAGATTGTCTAGACCCTTGTGGTTTTGTTGAGTTTCAGGAAGCTGACAGCAGTTGAAAGTTTGTAAACCCTCAGATTTACTGCTTCTTGTTGATCACTTGCTGGCTGCCTAGAAGCTGCATGCTTGCAAATATTCAGTCATAGACCATCCACAGTCCTGGACTACTTTTCCCAGGAACCCTGCTTGTTCTCACTTTTTGCAGTCACTTGTATTACTTCATGAGGCCTGATGAGTCAGTCACTCCTGTCTAAAGAAGGAGCTGTTCTGTTTCAGCTGTCAGCCCCATGAATCCATGTACCCAGGCTGGCAAGAGGCATGTAGAAGCCTGGCACTTCTACATGCCTGGTCTGTATGAATTCGGAGGCTGATCTGCAGACATTTCCTCACAGGGCCTAATTAAAAAATAATTAGGAAAAAAAAAAAGAAAGAAAAAAGGAGATGCACAAAGGATACATCTCTAACTTCCTTTTTTCTACTGACTGATACATTTAATTTTTCTTTGATACATGGTGACTCAGTTTCAAATTGCATACCCTACAAGGGGCTGAGAGCCCCAAAAGATAGGCAATCTTTTCCAAACCAGAGCTGACTGTTATATACAGTCTTCGATTTCTGGGATCACTCAGCAGAGCAAGCAGAGAGGACATTCTGTGCGTTCTCTGCAGGCAGTCACTGATTTATTTTTAACACAGATGTAAAACTATGCCTCTTATTTGAAATAATCATATATATGTCAACAGTATGATCTGTAATCACCTTTTTTTTTTTTGTCCAGGGACCAATAGGACCTACTGGACCCAAAGGAGAACTTGGTTTCCCGGGTCGTCCAGTATGTATTATGCTCTCAAGTGGAATAAAGATAGATGTGTCTGCTTCTGACACATACTAAACTACTTCTACTTATTTCAGGGCCGTCCAGGACTGAATGGACTGAGAGGTGTGAAAGGTGACCGAGGTGAAGCATTTAATGTAAGTTTTTATATGTTGCAATTAGTTGGAAAAAAGACCTGTTAAAATCTGAAGTCCGATTTATATTAATTCCTTTCAATTGATGATGGGACTAAAAACCTGAAATTATCTAGGAATAATTATATGTTTCTGTTACTTTTCCTATCCAGCAGCAATCATTGAAAAGTCAACTTCTGGGTCCATCTGGACAGTTCTTGCAGATATATATGTATCTATATATCTATAGGTATAGATATATAGATATATAGATATATAGATATAGATATATAGATATATAGATATATAGATATATAGGGATAGAGATATATATATTGCATATATATATATTTATATATATCAAGGACTTCGTGATCCAGGCCACCAGTATGACCACTCACAATGTGAAGATACTGCCATAGGCTCTTAGCTATCCAGCACGGGTACAAACAGCACTTGAGCATATCAGAGCGAAGCGGTACTTACTTTACTAACAAGGAGATACTCGCTAATACCTACTACCTACTTTAGTTGCCATATACATATATCCAAAATAATGACCTCTGCATAGAGGATAGTATATCCATGCTCACCTACAACCTGTAATTATGGAATGACAGGTGGTGAACCAAGCTCCTGGTGCTGCAAGTCTGGAGACTGGACCACACAACAACTAACACTGCTGAGTATAAGCAATAAGTTTCACAATAGCAGAGTAATTTGTGTGGTTGTTCTGATGTTATGGGGCAATCTGAGCTAGAAAAATGGGTACCCATACTACAGCAGCTGCTAATGATATTTCATCTGCATCAGAAATAATGCTGAAAGAAAAGACAAAGGTATTTTACTGTGTTAGCATAGAATCAGTGTAGCTGTATTTCAGTAGAACACTTTTTTTAAATGGATTCTGTTGTATGAAGCCTCTAGTTCTACTTTGTTCAAAAGAAAAAAATATATGGCCCACAAAGTGCAAAGCACAAGCATCTTGTCTATCTGGACAATAAATAGAAGTGAGATTATATTGCTTTGTTTGAGTAACAGGGAGACTGAGAATTCGTGAGCATCTAAGTATCTTCACAGAAAAAAAAGACCAGGCACTGAAGGTTGCTAGAAAAAGTTATAAATAGAAATTTAGTTGCTGGAAGGTGAAAACAGACAAATTAGACAAATTCTAATAGGAAGAAAATGACAGAAAAGGTGACTACCCATCAGCAGAAAATATTAAAGTAGATTTTACATTCCTTCACATCTTCAAACAATAATAAAGTTCATTTTCTGGATTGTCTGCTTTAACCAAACAAAAACTCTTATAGCAAGTACAACTAGGTAAAGTACATCAGGCTGACAAGTTAAAGCAAATAAGCAAACAAAACAGGCTACATGTTCTATTAGTCCTTCCTGGAGTGCTCAGGGAAGATAAAATCTTATGGATCTCTAATTATTGATGAGATGACACATGTCACCTCACAGAAAGTTCCATTGATGTGGACTGAAAGATGAACATGGTATTGTGCCAGGTTTTCAAATGACACAGTAAAGAGTTGACATACATTTTTTTTTAAAGAGCAGTCATGCCTCCAGTCTAGCAGGGTTCCTTGGAGGTGCTAATTATCAACATACTTATCTGACTAGCACCTGAAAATATATGAATCTTAGCAGTCTTGAGAATCCTAGATCACTGTAGAATGCCAGATTTTCCTTGGATGAGAGATCCACTGTCTTTAATTGAGTTTCAATTTTATAGTGCTTTGGGGTTTCCAGTTTGGGGTTGGGTTTGATTTTTTTTATCTTCCTTCTTTCACTTTCTCTTACCAGGGCCCTCCTGGCTTGCCTGGACCCCCAGGGCCCCCTGGACCTCCAGGACGTATACTTTATATCAAAGGAGTAAGTACAACTGGAGAGCAGTGACTGGTCTATCTCTGTAGCAGAAATGTGCTGCCCTAGTAGCAGTTTGCAAAGGGAAATATCAAAACTTGTTTCAGGCAACACAGTTTACAGTGGGTGACCTTGCTTGTGTGCAGAGAAAAAAGTTTCATAATCTAAGCCACTGTCATGAAAAGGTTTTGCCCTCCCCCACCCCCCCAAAGAGAGACCTGATGACAGACCTGGCAGCAAGCTGGGCTCTCTGCTAGGGAGGTGCTGATTTTGTTTCCAGGTTTTGTCCATCATCTCTATTAGATCTATATAGTGTGTTACCTGCTGTGTTATACCTGTGCTCATGAAAATAATTTTCCTCCTGTTTTCAATAGACAGTTTTCCCAGTCCCTCCCAGACCTCATTGCAAAATGCCAGTAAGTCACACACAGAATCTGCTCTTAGCAGAATGCATGGCCATGACAGAATGTAACCAAAGCAACTATACACCTAAACATGGCAGCTTTGCAGCTTTTCTCCCCCTGCCTTCTGCTTTGCACCAGGGATGTGTTTTACCTGTTCCTCAAGATAATGGATTTTCAAGTGTTTAGATAGCCAAACTTATCCACACTATACTCTTTTGCTTAAAGTACTTTGATTACTTCGTTGTTCTAACACTTTTAATGCCTTTCAAAGCTTGTGTTTCCATGGTTTAAGAGCTGCTTTGTGGAGCTGAATGTGTATGCATACAGGTACACATATTTTTTGGTTGTATATATAAATACTGTCCCCATAACAACAAATGTTGTTATGTCTTTAGCCATTTTCATTTCCCTGTCCAAAATAAGATTTATTACATATTTCATTGTGGCCTGAAAGATGCATCAGAAAAGAAAGGTCATGTTCTTTATTTGATCCTCAAATGCAGTTTATTCACATATAAATATTTATTATCTCGAGAATGGCAGCAGGTGAAGCTCTGCCCCTGCTTTCCAAAGGGAATGACAAAGCCTTCATTACCTTCAAAGGACCTGCAGTTTCACACATAGTGTGAAAATAAAGGGGAAAGGTTTCATATTTTCAGAACACCCTGGTGCAATTTTTGTTTAATAAATCATGGAAATTGTACCCTACAATGAATGGTGAACAGAGTTCAGTCCTGAAACTACTTTCCCTAGGGTAAGATCATACTGTTAAGCTGTGAGTTAGGTGCTTGGAAAAGATTCTGTCTTTGAGAGCCTGTACAGTGTAATGTGCAGGATGGCTATTCTACTTTTCTGTTAAACAGTATATCTCAAAATAATACTGTACCCCCTCCTCCAATTTCCATTCCAGTTCCCTTTCACTTATTTTAGAGAAACAGCCTTTGACTTACACTATACTAGATGCATTGATATTCATCATCACCCTAACCTTATTACTGAAGAAAGATGTATCTCAACTTATGAACTTTCTCTTAATTAATGATAAATAGTCATTACTCTATGCTAATTTGCTATTTCTGCAGTTTTGGCCTACCACCTCCAAGCACAATTTTTTTACCTCTTAGAATTCCTCCCTTAAATCTTCTCATTCCCACTGTATGACATTCTTGTATCTTAATCACGTATGTCCATCATCACATATGTATTTGTAAGCCTCACCTCTGAAACCTGCCTGGATGAGACCTTGAACAACCTGATGTACATGATCTTGTTTTGGGCTAGACAATCTCCAGAGATGCCTTTCAACTTCAACTCTCTTATGATTCTCTGTGGAATGATTCAAAGGAAACAAGCCTGTTTTATCTGAATTACAGATAATAATAAAAAGCCACCTTTCAGAAAGGTTACAATTGGTGAATAATAGCAGTAACTTTTATGTGCACAAGTAATAGAAATGTGTACTTATAAACATCTCTTCGTGCACTTGAGTATGCTAGATAGATTTATCCTACATTTGTGAATAATCTCCTAAACCTATCCGAGTTTATAGATAAGAAGTCTGCTGTTCATGCCTACATAAATGAATGTCGATACAGAACTACAGACTGAACCCCACCAGTTTTCCTCATGGGAACTGAACTTCTGAAGTTAATGGAGCTATCCATGTGAGTAAGACTTCTACGAGCTAATACAGCAGGATTTGCAAGATGCAGCAACTTCATTTTTTTCATACACTTGCTTAGAATAATGTAAATAGTACTACCTAGTACTAAGATTTCCAAGTACTCTGCCACATTTTAATTCTTGCACTGTCCCTATTTTGAAGACAGGCAGCAGAGGTAAGTATCATGACCACTGTTACAGGTAGCTGGTGTCAGAAGAGGATAGACTAGAATAGCTTCTGCCTCCCAGTTGTGGTCTCAATGCATCTGGAGCATAGGTTAACATCAGACATAACATAGCCCTGATCTGATGAAAAAATTACAAACACAGTCTGTTATCCTAAAGTCAAAAATCAAATCCTGCTTTCAAATACAGTGGTGTAAATTCAGAATTGTTCTTGGAGACTGAGTTTTCTGATGCTTCACTGGCACAATTGAGAGTAGGATTTGCTGATGCCTCCAAAATGCATGTTTTGCTGAAAGCATGTTGCATGTTAAAGAGCACACCATCCTCATAAAAACTTGATCAGCTAGTGCTCAGACCTTGTCAAACTGGAGATAACCCCAGAGTGTTGTTATAATATTTACTATCATGGAAATGTACTTCCATTGCTTAATGTGTATGGATATTAATAGATTTATTTTTCTGCAGGTGAGCACTCCCTACCCTGGAAATCAAGAACCTCCTAATGAACATGGTGAGTAATTCTTGTACCTTGGCTTAAATAAGCTCTTTTTGTTTGGTTCTGTTTTTCATGGTTAAGTGCTTTTTGCTTTTTCTGGGCTATTGCATAAC